TGTTCAGCTATGTCACTTTGCATGAAAAGTTTTTATTAGGACAGCAAAAACCTTTATTAAATTGTACATTTGTAATACATGTAAGTCCCTTCAGTGCCTACTAGGGGGCAGCAAATACACACTGTAGGAGAAATAAATTTTGGAGTCGTAAAGACGGACATTATACACACAACTATTGAATGTTATTTATTAACAATGGTGCTAAAGATGTTAGGCATATTCTGTGACCTTCATAAATGACACTGTGAAATGTTTTTTAGGTGATCAGACAGACACAAAAGCATTCATTAAAAAAAAAGTATAACAATTTTATAGATTAGTTCAAGTGTCTGTGGTCTTTTAGTCTGTGAGACTCGTCCATATGGGGGACAGCATTTCATGGTTACAGTTCACGTTAACATGTGGTGTAAAGTGTTTAATACATAGCTGTGTGTATATGCAAAATTATGTAAAAGTGCGAGGAGCTACCTTAATGAATTCCTGAGATTGAGTGTTATTTGTACAGAAGTTACATACTGTTGACAAATAGTACCGACAAGACAGTTTAATCATTAATCACTCTTCACCAGAAATTTCTATGACAACAAACACATTTTGAAAGAAAAACAAAAGATATGACTGAAAAGCAAGCCCTGACCTGCCAGACTGGGTAGAATTTCTCACAGTGTGTCGTTTGAGGAGTAAAAAGAATGTAAATATACATATTTATGTTAAGTTAATATTGATCCAGATATTGATCACAAGTCTCTGTCTCAGAGTTACCGAAGCATTTCCTGGAGGAAATGTTTGCAGTGAAAACAAGTATTTAGCTATTTCTGTAGGACTCCAGTGTATTTGTGTCTGTGAAGAGTTTGCTGGATGGAGAATTCAACAATGCAGTGTTTCAGGCTTTATGAATAAGACAATGTCTTAGATAGCAAAAGACATTGGTGACAGAATGGTGATCAACAGCGCAGAGGAAGTGTAATATGGTGTTAATAAGCCTTCTTGCTCCAATTCTTTTATAAAATAATCACCCTATTCATTCAGTACCAAGCAGCAGCCTCCTTCTGCCATCCCATGGAAGGGAAGGAGGACTAGTGCCAGTCTTGTACCTAGTCTGCAGTCCTTCAATGGGCCTTTGTGGATGCTACCATCCTCTTCCCCTGGCCCACCCCCGGCAGCCCATTCACAAGTGTCACATGGCACTCTCAGTCCTCACCCATCTCACAATGCACTCCTGTCATCCGCACCTCATTGACATGCACTCATAGTGATGCGCATCAGGGAATGATCGTGCCCTTCCACTGGTTTCAAAGTAAATGAAGTACCGGCCTGGGTGGCCAAAGTGTGGCTTCCTGGATACAGGCTTCATATTTCTTGGGAGGAAGTGTGTGAGTGGATGTGTGTGTGTGGGAGCAAATGCAAAGTGTAAACCACTTACGAAACTGGTAGAGACATGATAAATAATGGTGAATTACTGAGGACTGCTTTTCATTGGCAGCTCTACTATAAAGGTAGTTTTTTTATGGAAATCCTTTAATTTGTCTGAACTAATAAACATAATCACATAACATTTTATATTTGCCATTCACGATGCAGCAAAAATGACAGGGTGTCGCCAGCCACAGAGTTGAGGCTGAGATCAGTCTTCATGTTACAAATACTAAACATGCCCTAAATATTTATCAAACTACTGATTTATTTCTGTATTTATTTGGAATAGACTGAATGGATGGTAACAGTACTTGAATAGTGTTCAAGTTTCTCTGTATAGTCAGTTTTTATTAAAACAGTGTATGAACAGTAATTCACAGGATTCAGTGGAAGAGAGAATATAGAAGTCTAAAATGCTTGTCATTAATGGAATAATACAATGTTTAAGCACTTATATAAGAATTAAAAGACAATTATCACATTAAAAAACATTTCAAAGAATGTTTTTTTAATACAAATTGTCATACATCAGTGTTTGGAGGTGCACATAAAGTATGCTAACAGTTTACATTTTTTAGCAAGATATCAATGTTTCTGCGTGCGTATTACTTTCGTAAGTATTTTTGTTTGTCTTTAACACTTCATACCAATCACCATTCTCCCCACATCATCATCACCAAAAGAGACCAGCAGTGCACAGCTCACTATACACGGACATGAATACACAATGCAGCTATCAATACAACAACCCCCTTCGAATAAAGGATTCCATTTATGGCCAATGATGGCTTTTTGACAGCAGAGAGACCCATCACATACTGTTTTGTGATTTTGGTTTAAAAAAATAAAGAACAAAATTCAACCTGAATGGGGCACTTTTACAATAATGTCAAAAAACGTTCACACAACAGTTACAAATCCAACAAATGGCTCTTGAATGATGAACTTATAGCAATTTAAGTATTGCTTTATTAATGAAAAACAAAATACAGGTGGGTTGTCATGGCAAAACCCTTTTCATAACATCTATAATTAGTTTTTATTGCAAAATACTCCAAATGTAATTATCCTTACAAATGTGTTACTTACCCTAAAATAAGAAAATATTTGAACTTGTTGGGGTCTATGTTTCATTTTTGGGCTTTCTGTCTTTTGTTTTCTTTGTTTTTATCTGCTCTGGTTAACTTATTTCTCTTTTCCATGAAATCAAGTCAGTGATCCATGTTCATGTTTGTAATTTGTATACTCTGAAGGCTGTTCCATTTGTCCTGCTATCAATACAGAGAAAGATTCTCATTCTTGTCTTTACCCCTAGATGTCCTCAGTTTTCTTCATCTAGACCTCTGCTCTCATTCACACCTGTCTCCTGCTAGTCACTCACCTGTTGTCACTCTATTCATCAAAGCTCCCGAATGAATCCTGTTCATTTTAGAGAGCTGCTCATGACTAGACTTTGATTCAGAGGTTAGATTTTTTTCAAAAGGAAAAAGCATGAATATTTCATTGCAGTTATTTTTAAACAATCTGATACCAGACAAAGATTTTCAGAGGTAGAAAACAATAAAGAAAGTTATTCTTACTGGCAAAATATGTCATATAAGACATATTGAGGATCTTCAGTTGCAATGTTGATAATATGCATGTTGATAATGTGAAATTGGCAATATTCGAAATATTGTGGATACCTAATTGTATCTACGTGTTTTCCTAAGAGATAAGAATTTACATTAGAAATTCAGCTGAAATTCACTTTGCCCCTCAGCCAAGTAGTGGATTTTTGTAACCCCTGGGAAGATAAAGATGGATCAAATCATCATCTGGTCCATTTAAACACATTGTCAAACACATTGACCCCGATTCTCTCCAGGCAAATTTGGATGTTTTTATTGGAGTATACAACCTGCTCTGGAAAGAGTGAGGCAGGCTTTTCTTAACTATGGTGTTTTCCAATTTACAGTTTGTGCCACTAGATGTTAGTACATGTCACAAATGGACTTGATTTCTTCTGTTTATTTATCAAATAGTCATTTTATAGCTTAAAATTGTGGAAGCTCCATCGTTAACATCCAACAGTGACAGTTGATCATTAAAAATCAATCAGGTTACTTACAAAACCTGCGTACCTTTGCAAGTTGACCGTTTGTTGTCTATCTCAGTAGCTTCTTGTAAATGTTTAACTGATGCTGTGCACCATCACCTGGTCAGAACCATTGTTGGTTCCAACTAAAGCCATTATTTGTCTGAATGAGTAGCAGTCCCCCTATAACGAGCCCATGAGCAGCGTTTTCTACCCATTTTTCAGTCTGGCATCACAACCACCGGAGGCCCAGTCCTCAGAAAAACCCCTCAGCGACACTCCCTCCATCCACCGGTCTGTGTGTAGGCTGAGCTGACTGGGAGGAGGTGGGATCTAGCCACTGGTGGTCGTGGGCGAGTAAAACGTGTACGTGCGAATCGTGCTGACTATACCGAGAGAGGCGACTGCGACTGGCAGTGACGTGATTTACGCAAACCGCACCGAGTCCTGCCCGGGCGCATTCGGTCTCACCGGGTTATCCACACCTGACGTCTCGTCCTTCTCGTCTCTGTTTGCCACTCGGATCCCCGTTAGATTCGTGTCTATCAGAGCCGTGAACACCGCGCACAGCAGGATTCACCGGGGGGGGAGAAGGAGAAGGCGGAGACGGGCTCTTCTGATGAGGAGATCACCCTGCAGAAGCGCTTTGCGTAACATTAAGATAGTACGTTTTTTTTTCTTCTTCCTTCCCTCCCTCCCCGTTAGAACCGCTCTCGCCTCGGGTGTGCGTGTCGCTTTCTGAACCTCCGGCTGTGTGAACGAACACACTCCAGAAGAATAAAGCTGCCACCGGGGGGCTGGGGGAGTCGCTGGTGAGTCTATGGTTATTTTCCACTCTCTTATCGGGCGCAGTCCAGCTCGCTGGGAACTGTGAGCCAATATGCCGAGATGTGCAACGGGCGCTGATGCTGTCCACTTCTGAATTGGTCCCCACCACTCGTGGCTCTTCTTAAGCTTCGAAGCCGGGATTTCTCCGACGCCAGGACCTCACGCAACGACATTGCTAAGGTTTCTGTACCAGCTGAAAGCTATTTACGCTGTTATTCTAATAAGTTGACTTGAGACCGCCGGGGTTAGGTCGGGCTGTGTTTGGGGCTAAGCGTAGCGCTGCTAGCTAGCGAGCCTACGCCCATTCGCCCACGGTCCCGTTAAAGCAAAACATTAAAGAGAAACAAACAAACACATTAGACTGGCTTCACAAAAATATTGATACGGGTAACATTACGCATGTAAACTGTGTATCCCCCCCCCGTTTGGCTAAAAGTCCACCGGCCCTTGTTATAGTTCCGCGTGCGGCTCCGCAACGAGGAGCCGCACGCGACCGGGAGCGCGCGCTCGGTGCTCGGCTCCTTCCTCCGTCAGTCACATTGTTCTGACGGCGGCGAGGGACAAGCCCTCAAAGCTTCGCCTTTACCGCGGAGACGGAACCCCTCAGACGTGTTTAACTGTCTCTGTGTGCGCTGAGCTCCAGGTGAGGCGAGAGGGGAGAGGGTTCCGTCGTGTCATGATGAAGTTGTCGCCGGGCTTGAAGATGCTCGCCCGGGAGGTGTTGCCCGTAAAGGCCCCTCTAAAAACGCGCTTTAATGTCGTGCTATCTGAGCATGGGTGGGTGGTTTGACCTGTGGGCTTGACTGCCTGAGCAGCCTGGTGGGGGGCTTGTAGGACTGCACTCCTACAAGGTCAGCTTGTGGATCATTTTCACATTGCTTTCAAAGCAGGACAAGCCCGAACCTCTGTAAGGGTCAGCACACAGAGAGCCAGCGAGTCTGGATTTATCCAAAGAGCTAATTATCCAGTTCAACCATACCGTGTGTTTACATTTATTTATCTACTTTTATAGTTAGCCAGCCAGCCAAGTGTAACCTGGCACAGTGACCTGTGCTGTTTTTTGCGGCCGCCTGTGCTCTGGCTGGAATTGCTTTAACACTCTCCAAACCACTATAAGAACATTTCACATAACCTCTGGAGGCTTGACAGATTTTTTTCTGAGTTGTTTTTGCACAGTTTGACATATAAATATTCTCAGATTCTATTAGAACTTTAGACTTGTACTTCACTAGTGTTGTCTAGTCTCATGGGAATGGCGGACAGCCGTGCGCCCTGTCCCATCCGTTTGCAGTTATTTCTAACATAAGCTGTGAGAAAAACGAGTGTCTATTTGCTTTCCCGCTTTCCAAAGCCGTGCGTTCTAGACCCGTCCTATAGATTCAGTCGAGGCTGCGTGACTGACGCGTGGTGTGTGCCGCAGACGCGTGTGGCAAAAGTTCAAAATGAGTTGAACTCTCAGAACGCTGGCCTCTGGACGCAAGCTCTTTACACAAGACCAGATGTTTGTGGAAACGGAGCCATGGCGCTTCTAGGTTTTGGCACCACAGTTAATCCCTTACATCCTTCTCTTTTTGGTTATCCATTTCTTTTACTGTTAACCTCTTGACATGCACCTCTCAGAGAACCAGCTTGGTTTGGTTTAGGGCCTGGTGAACCATTACCCATAGCGTGCTGGAAACCAGCGCAGGCGACTGATTGGCTGAGGACAGTATCATTGTGTAAGGTCACCAAGGTAACGCTGAACTCCTGTGCACACCCGTGCCGCTCTCTTTTCCTTATTGCATAAAAAAAGAGCCTGTAACAGCCTCTGTGAACAGTTTACAAATCTGTAGGTAGGAGTTTCAAAACAGCTGGCACGGCCTGCACTGCTACTTTTCCCCCAGGGGGAAAACCGAGCTCAGAAAGTGACCTGACAGCACTTGCAAGTAGAGCAGAATTGGGCAGTATCATGCAAAGATTATTGCACCACACGTTGGCGTGGAGAGGTGGCTTCACCGGAGCGGCTTCGTTTTCCTAATCCAGTCTATTTGATAGCCATTCTGATGATGAAAAAGCTCAGTTGATAATTAGATTATTCCAAGTTCAGACATGTGACTTCATAGTTTTGGTTCAAATGAGTCCTTGGCGTAGACTCGGTGAGCACTACCGTTGACATCTGATGGGTATCTACCCAGAATTTCTATTTCCTTTTGAAAGTGAGAGAAGGAAACCTTAGATATGTTGTGCTTTTAAAGACCACTGTTACAGTGTAAGCCAATCTCATACATTACTCAGGAAAGCTTTTGATGGCTCAGTGCCATCCATCAGATACAACAACCCATTCATAAAGTTTTAATTTGAGACAGCATGGGTCGGGATCAAAGGTCCCTCACAGCATAAGCATCAGCACTGGCCTAAACTTGATTTAGTACCAACCTATGAATAGATGGTGCAGCCCCGGACTGGGAACACATTCTAAAAGAGGATGAGTGAAAGCTGGGCTTTAATTTGCTCATTCAGACTAAAGCAGGCGTTCATTCAAATATACTTTATTTTTTTTTTTTTTTTTTCTCTCATGAGAGATTACATCAGTGCGGCACCGGGCTTATACGCTTGCTAAGGTGCTTACCTCATCTGCATCCACTGCTTTTGTTAATTGCCTTTTAAATGGGTGCTATGCGATTCATGTTTTTTTTTCAAAGGTTCTCATAAAGTATTTAGATGATTAGAAAGAGAGACGTCAGCATGTTTCTTGACTTTTCCTATTAGTAACCATGAATAAATCTGTATTCATGATTTGGAGGAGCAAAGCTCCTAATGCCGGCCAGCCAATGGCTGCGCATTAATGCATTTTATCACCGCTTCTGCGTTAATACCAGTTGTGTAATTGTCCAGTTAAAGTGCACTCCAAGTGTAGGAAACTTCCTTCAGGCGCAGGCTTACGTACTCAACTTATGTAACAAGTTCAAATGTGTAGCTTTAAATACGCAGAGGCGGTCCGGCACTTTCCCACTCAACTGCTGCACCAATTTCAGATGTGATTTATTTTGATATTCATTTCAGGGGTCATAACTCATGCACTGCAGTCTTATTCAAATTGGATTCAACATTTCGGGAATTGATTGCACGTGTCCACACAACGTCTGCGGCGTTTGCACCAGACTGATTGAGGACAGGAGTGAGTGGAAAAGGTAGTCTGCACAGCATTGAGGATTCATTCAAGCCAAAATCATCCAAAATAAGCCATTATCAGCCGTCCGTTGTTTACCTCACGTGTTGTGTGCCAGACCCAAACTGCTGAGATGATTTGCCTGATGTCTTCTCTCTCATGTGTTCTACTCAGGTGTCTCTCAAAGGGAGTTTCCAGCTTAGAGAGCAGTTCATCCTCAGCAAAATGAAGGTGTATCACCCTTTGTGTCTGTTACATAGCGCGTAACCTTGATGAGGGTGTGTAATGCTGGGGATTGTGTAGCTACTTGTCTTTGGTCATTTGAAGATGCAGAGCTCTATCAGTACTTTTTAAGTGGAAGGGCTCCCCTTATTATGGTTTCAGTAGTAACATATGTACAAAAAAAGCTGTTCATTTTTCTACAAAGAAACCCCAAATAGAATTGAAAAAGGCAACCAAAGGTGGCCCATATTTGCCTATTTTAAAAGTTTAGAAGTTTCTAATCATTATCACTTTGTGGCATTCAACCTGAAGGGAAAGTGGCACAAACTGAGCTGTTTTAACGAATGGATTAGGCCATTTATGTCATGCCAAAACGGAGCCTTATGTAGAATTAGTGAATTTGGCATATTTGCTCAACCAGCTCAGGCCGTTTGTTCACTTTGAGTTGGTCTGGTTATCCAATAAGAGGCGAAATGACTTGATTCAGCTAGTTTTCCTGTAACCACATATCCTGGTCACTCTGGAACAACTACAAGTTTTATTTTTAGTGCCTCTGGCCCTGCACTTTGCCAGATCAGTTTCTTTAGAGTAGATATGTCACAAGCAAAAGTATTCAGGTTCAAATTCTTTCTCACCGCAGCTGGGAAGAGACACTGCAGTCGCTAGTCTTCGGACAGCTTGACTGCAGTTTTGTTCGGTGTTACCATTTGTAACACTTGGTTTAAACTGAAATTACATACCGTTGTTTGATGGTGTATCCATGTGGCTACTAGAGGAACATGTAATTCACAGAAGCAGACTTGGAGGGAGCAGAAACCGATGTAAAATCTTGACTGCTAAATGGGAGTTGATGAGGGGACGTGGGTTACTGAGGGGAAGGTCTGAAATGTGCCACCGAATTCAGGGAGACTAGCCAAACAGGGACAGCTGTGTTTCATTTCTAAGTGTTTCTGTCAGCTTGTGTTACCATCGGAGTCCTCTGAGAGACGAAGGGCTCAAAGGAGCAGAGAGAAAACAGACAAGCAAATGCAGAAAGCGGCACTGGTAAAACTTGTTTTGCTTTCATTATCAGGAGATCACTCGTCACCTTTGAGGTTTACCATTCAATCAGAACAGAATAATTACTTCATATGGAATTTTACATCTAATGGCGCTGTAGCGGAATTCCCATTTGCCCTTTGAGGTTGATTTATATTTAATCAGATCATTCTCATGTGATTCTGAATTATCATAATTAAACATTTTAGGGAAATAATCATTATTATTTTTGCTTTAATAGGGTTTTGTCAAAGTTTACTTCTAGTTGGGAATTGAAAAGCACGGAAAATCAAATTAAATGGGTTCTCTTTCGCATAAATACTAAAAAACTGCTAAGGAAGTGATTACAGGCCTTTTGTGTCTGAGTTGGTGAAAAGCTGTTTTCTTTTGGCAGTATTTGTTGAGCTGAGCTAGTGAAGGATCTAATAGCTTGCCCCTCTCTGCTTACAAGGAAGTCCGATTGCGTGTGTGAACAGGAATCTTGTCATTAATAGGAAATGTTACAAAAGACTATGTGCATCTGTACTTCTGGAAAATTCCATGAATATTTGTAACTAAAAAGAGAGCTATTCAAATTTCGCTCTTTAGCTTAAACTAATCATTCCCATTTAAGGCCTACATTTGCACTTTTGGATTTATAGTTAAAGCAACCCATTTTCTTAAGAATTTGTGCCAAAGTTGCTCTCCGTTCCCTCTCCTTTCTGGTTAAATCAGTCGAGATGTTGCCTGAGTGAGGAATTCAGTGAGTCTGCATCACTGAATCCAGGGGTCCAAATGACATAAGGGAAACACAAGGGTAAAAACTAAACAGCTGTCTCCCAAAAAAGCAAAACAAAGTGAAAGTAGGTCCGGCCTGACAGTCAACAATGTGATTGGCCCTCGTGGAACTTAAGTGTCACATGAGTGTTGGCATTAAAGCCTCCCGCTCTGCCTCTGAGGCTCCGGGGTTTGATATGCCCTTTGGCATATAAAGTTTCAGAGCACATCTCATGGTCGACAAACGGCAGCTGGTGGAAATTTCCACTTCCTATCCAGACAGTACTTCATAAATGTGATGCTGTGATCTGCAAACAAAGGCAACCACACCAAGGGTTTAATGTGAACTGTAGTGGGAATAGAGTGCTGTCTCTGGAGTGGGTGTTAGGCATTTTACAGCTTCTCCCTTTCTGAAACCCAGTGGCTGTATTACTGTACTGCTACCTTAAACGACAATAACATGAAACGTTATGACTCGGGATGCTTTTGTTTTCCCGTGGATGAGTGTAATCAGTCACTACAGATGATGAGTTCCAAGAAGGATGACAGAAAGCTGTTTGAATCGGAATCTGGTTTTAATTTGACCTGGCAAAGTGGTTTCTGGTTACATTATGTGGTTGAGTGGGTCTTAAACACATTTATTTATCTGCGCTGAAAAACACTTTTGTATAGCTAGATGTTTGATTGCATCATTATAGAAATTATTTTGTCACAAAAGAATCCATGAGTCACCTGCCAGCTGGAAGAAGGGCCGATGTGTTGACCTCTGTGCTTACTTTGTTATCTACTATGCGGTATTGATCGTCCAGAGTTGTCTGAATGTGTGGAGCGGATGTTATCCTGTAGCATGACTCAGTTGTTGTTTTTGCTTTTAAGGAATTTATTTGAGGGGAATAAATCATAAATCAACTATCCCCAGCCAGCTTATGGAGTATGTGTCCCGGGCCAAACCGAAGCAGCAGAAATGGAAAATCTGCACAAATAACCCAAGTGTTTCTGTAAAAGGAATTAAAAAAAAACATAAAGCGAAGCTAAATAAATTTGTATTGGGGGAAAAAGTCACTGCGCGAAAACAAATGCGCATAGTATTGTTCCTGGTTATGTAACAGGGTGAGGCCATGTGAAAGTGCCAGAGGGAGAGAGGCTGATGGTGTGGGGAAAAAAAGCTGCAAGTGGAGAGCAGATGCAAATCAAGTTAGCCCTCACCAGCTGGAAGACACATGATATGTCATGTCTGACTGGATGCACGTATAGAAAATCACATGTGACTAGAATGATGTCAAGATTGAAAGTTTTGTACAACCCTCTTGTTATGATGTGCTTTACATCAATTTCACTGTGATGAAACTACTCAGTCATCACTAAATGGTGGCAGCTACTCGCTGTCTGTAGCCCGTCAAACTTTCTTTGTGCTCTGCTGTCTGCGTCAGGTCTTTTTATGACATCGCTCGATCAGGTGTCGCACCGCCTGGTCTTTGTGTTGCTCTCTGCAAGCAGGTTAGCTTTCCATCTCACTTTTTGTTTGCCACATGCAAATCAAAGATTGTGAGCAGCAATCCTGCTCCCACACATTTGCACAGATTTGCCTGTGAGGAGGGAGACACTCGCTTGGAGGGGTTAAAAAATTAGGAAGTGAAGGCGTGAAGGAGGCCGATGAGTCATGTTTGCATCATCAAGACGCACCTCAGCCAATTTCAGCATGAGTCATTAGTGTGAATGAGATGTATGATTAAAAAATAACGGCTTACAGGATTTTCTTTTCTCGTTTCAGACATTAGGTTGTTTTGTCCTGACCATAGGAACAATCAGAAATAAAGTGTCCAGATTGCTGGCTGAATGACAGCATTCTTCCACAGACATGGCTTTGTTGTTTATCTATTATTCAGAATGTATTGTCTCTCCCAAGGTTTCCGAGTGTCTTAAAGGCGTGTTGTGTTTGGCCATGTAGATAAGCAGGGGGAGGCTCTGTGACGACACCAAAAAGGAGACGGAGGAGAGAGGGGCTCAAGTTGAACTCGAGTCTCTCAAAAAGGGCAAAGAGGGTTCATAATTCAAACATAGAAGAAGGAAGCAGCGTGGCAAGTCTCTGCCTCTCACTCTCTCTTTTCTTTTTCACGGGAAAGTCCGGTCACTTTCCAAAGCTCTGTGTTGCAGAGCTTTACAGACTTTTCTGCTACTCAGCATGAAGGCACCACTTGGGTATGTGTATCTTATATGTGCATATGTGGGAGTTTTTCTATTTATCATATAGGAATTCTATTATGTAAGCTTTTCAATGTATTTACTATCATGCAGCTTTATTTTTTCAAACAAAAATAGGGCTGTTTTTTCTTGTGTTTTTTTTTTTTAAAGCATGTCCAGATAAGTGTGGGGTGAGTTTTTTGTAGGAAAACCAGTAAGACATTTTTGGCTCCAGTCTTTAGTTACAGAGCCTTAAATGTCAAAGATTCAGCTTTGAGTACAAGGCCTGCTCACAGAAACATGCCCCATGTAGATCCCATTCTAGATTTTTCGAGCTCCAGACACAGTGGGCTGAAGGCTTGGGGTGGGTAGTAAAAGAATGCCGTCCACAGTCCCAAGCATTTAGCTCCATTAGCCTGTGTCAACATCTGTTGGGTCTGTTGTGTTGATGGTGGGTGTGTTAACTCTGGGGTTTTGGACCTTTTAATGAATGCGCCACACTTGGTCCAGCCCTCGACCAACTTGTTTAAACGTTTTCCTCAATAGCTTGTTTTTCAGATCAGTCCACTAGACCAACAATTTTTCTTGTAATTTCTTGTACATAGCTACTAGTCATTAACCTAAGCCTAAATTCTTGCCTCAGCTTAAGTTGATGGTAGGATAGGAGAACATGCTGCTCTGGTTCCTCCCCCCTGTCATATGGCTATCTTATATCATGGGCCAAGTGTGAGAAGACTTCTCTTGCGTAAAACTGGAATGAGTTGGACATATCTTTTTTTTATTAGGGTGCCACTCTGCTGGCACTAAGTCAGGAAATGTTTTATGGAGGTTGAGGCGAAACCTCTTTATGTTACATAATGTTTGAGGGGACCGGCCTATGTGTTGTTCCCTTATAATCTGCTAAAGTTTCCACTAGATGAGTGTATGGGAATGAAGCTGTTTGAGAGGGGGAGGGCACTAGATAGGATCCCAAAAGGAGCAGAAGTTATTCCTGTCATTCCCTTCTCCTCCTCCTTGTCTGGCTGGAGACGTAAACATGTCCAGTCATGTCTCTCTGGGACTTAAAGAAAGGGAAATTGACCAGTAAATCCTTTTCGGGGAGCCTTGGCTTTTACAAACCAGCTATTAACATCTATCTAGATGATTGACAATGAGCTCCATATCTAAACATTTCAGTTCTTGTATTATGAATGAAACATCAGGCAGGTACCCTGTCGGCTTTAATAGCGATGAATCCGCATAATGAGTCGCCCCTGTATTCAGATCACTGCAGACGGCTGCATTAAAAGGTTAGAACAAAGCACAAGATGTACTTCAGCCATTAAAAATACAGGGTCGCATTAACTGCATATTTTAATGTTGCACATGAGTAATTTCTCTGCCGCTTGCTTCCTGTGCATAGTCTGTGAGTCTGGCCAATGTCAGCAAACCCTGAAAAGGGAAGGTTTCCCATCGTCAAACAGATTCTATGTAGTTCATTCATATCATGGATTATCGACATACGACTGTATGATGTTCAGGCTATTGTGGCCTAACTCGGCACCCGTTATTAAAGAAGGCAACGCCCAAGGAAACGTATTCGTTTGTCTATTTAATGTTGTTTTGTTTTCTGTCATCAATGTGCAGTGAGTGTAAGAAAGTCAGAGCACTGATGAACTCTCTCTCTCGTTCTCTCCATGCAGAATATCCATGAGCTCCGATTTCCCACATTACAGTTTCAGAATGCCAAATATAGGGTTCCAGAACCTTCCCCTCAACATCTACATTGTTGTCTTTGGAACAGCCATCTTTGTCTTCATCCTCAGCCTCCTCTTCTGTTGCTACCTGATAAGGTAAGAGCCATTAACTGTTTAGCTTTGAAATTAGAATAGAATTTTTTTTTTTAATTGTCTGAGACAATAAGTGTCATACGGGTTTCTTTTTTTCTTCTATACTTTGTACAACAAATCACAAATCTTAATGTTCAAAATTTGTATATTCTAGACAAGAGCTATTCCACTCAGCTTTGTTCAGAAAATATTTGGTGAAGCTTAGCTTAAAGGATCGCTTTTAGAAATTGGCGTCCCACATCTGACATCCTTTAAGTATCTTTGCTTCACGATTTTGTTGTTTTCTGAGTTCTCTAGAACTGTTTGACTGACGCTCTATCCAGGCTCTTCAAAAAGCGAGTACCTATCCTCAATTTGACTAATTTTTTTCCTATGGAGAATTTGGTAGATTTAAGTTTAAAAAGAAACTTGACACATCAGAGGGGATCAGGCCTACATACTTGCCTAGCAGTAGTTATGTTTCACTTGTTCCCATCACATTGTATGATACTTGCCCCAGTAGCTTTGTGCTGTGGCAGTATGGAAAGTCATATCTTTCTTCTTATTAAAATGGTTTGTTCTTTGGTATTTGGTATATTCTTTTTCTAAAATCTCTTCCAAAGTAGACTAAAAGTTTCAACAGCACAGTTTGGAGGATGTATCTCTCATTCTATGATTGATGACTGAACTATCTGAATATATTTGATTTATTAATTTATTTTTAAAAAGAGGTCAAATATTTCTACTTTCATAAATTTCTTGCCCACGTTGTTACGATCATGGCACTTGGCTTCAAAGAAGTAAAAAGTCTTGATGCTTTTTCGAAGACCTTGCTAACATCCGTTTCTTTGTTTTATAATTTATTACCTAAAGGTAACTCAAATAACACCTAAAAACTGCCTTTGGACATTTAAATCCCCAGCTCCTAACTCTTTATTTTTGATCTTGTGTAAGCTTCTTTAATCCAACACATCTTGAGTATAATCCAGTTATTGTTACTCATGGAAAACCAAAATATAGCCGTTTATATTTTTCTAAAGCTAGTGCCGTTGCCCCTTTCACAGGTGCAATCAGATTATGTCACCTGCTGCTGCTACTGCAGGGGTTTTCCTCTGGCAGCAGCAAACTGAAAGCAAATTATACCCTGCATTGTTTTATCTAAGACAGCGAGAAGCAGCAGGTCCCCCTAAAATCTCCCCTCGCCATGCTGTCATATCCTATCTTGCAAGGCAAATGGTAAGTAATTTATCTGCTCCCACAATAAATTATTAATCTGTGAGGAACAAACACCTCAACACTTTGATGCCGTACCATGATTCAATAGTGAAAATCGAGGTTTTTTTCATGAAAGGCAAAAAAGGGCAGTTTTTGCTCCTGAAATGGCTCCTAAAGATGCAGTCTCCCAAAGGAACTGGCCCAAAATGCACCATACTATATGCTAAGTATAATTATAATTCATTGTGACTTTACTGACATTTAATATATTGTAATGTATATAATGTAATATATTTTACTGGTCTCGTGCCAGAGAAAGGGAATCGTAGCCATTTTTTTTACATTCTGCCCTGAAACGTTGTTAGGGACACAAGCTTTGCCTGAAAAGGCTCCATAGAGGGGCCGAAGGGGACACCCTATTGTTTCTGTGCTAAAAAGCAGCATTGCTCTTGCTTTCATTGGCAGGTGAATGAACCAGTGTTGGAGCTGACACATAACATTCCTGCCGAGGTAGATTTGTGTACAATTTTTGACACTCGGCAGACCGTCACAGAAATGCTCAACCCCATCTCTCAGTGGGTCTCAACTCTGTACACACACGTGTAAAGTATGTGCATTGGTTTGCACAGGGACCCACTGCATTTCTCATACATTCCAGTGTGTGAGTAACCAACGGTTCATGCAGGTACAACCAAAAAATGAACAAAGATGGAACTTTTTATTTAAAGGTAGTAGATTTGTGATTTTTACTAATCAAAAGGGCAGCCAGTTGCGCCCCTACTTTTGCCCAAGGGTCTGGGACACACCCTAGTTCATCACCCCTGACCTTGTCCCCTACCATTGGGAGTCTCTGCACCTTTACCTGCTGACCTCTTTCAAAATGTCAGTTTTTCTCCTAGACTGTGCTGCTTGTTTTACAGATCCCTCTCACTCTGCTGCGAGAGGTTAAGGTTACTAGTAATGGAGGTAAATCTTACAAACCTATGATTTTTTCTCCTATCTCTCTTGCTCTCCCCCTCCCCCACCTATTTATTATTGTTTTATTCTCCCTCTCAGTGGCTAGATTCTCCCCTTATTCAGTGCTCTTCATGTTCTCTCTGTGTTTACTGGGATGTTTGTATCTTAAGTTGTTTCTGTTGGTTCTCTCCTTCTAACTTGGAGTTGTGCAAGCCTTTGTGCAGTGCCTCAGCAAACCTGCAGTCCTTAATGTCTGATCAAATGTATTTTGGTTTGACACTGTCAGTTGATGTTTTACCTCCAATTCTCTGTCTTAAAGCAAGAACAGTGCTTATGGTCCTCTAAGAACTCCATATGTTAATATTTAATTTAGTTCAGTGACATTGGTAAGAAAAGTAGATTTTTAACACGCATTGTTTGAGAAAACATTTAAAAAAAACGTTGCCTCCTAAATGTAAGTTGCTCTGTGAAATATTTCTGTTTTACAATAGACATTACATGTTTGCCAAATGATTATTAAATGCCAAGGTACACACATGGAGAATAGCTGATTATTATTCATTCATCTTTATTTCCCAGGATGGACATGTATCAGTGTTGTAAAATCAGTTGAAGGCCTCTCACTAATCAGAAAGATGTTGTGTCTTTACGTCTCTCCAGGTTACGGCACCAGGCCCACAAAGAGCTATATGCATACAAACAAGTAAGAACACGCACACTGACACACACACACACACACACACACACACACAAGCCGTAGATCTGAGATTTTAAGATGATGAATTACTAGTTATTACTAGTCATTTAAAGTTTTAGACCCCGACTGTGGTTTTATGGATAAAATCCTGAAAATTCACCTTATTCTCCAAAGATTCATTGAGCTTTTACCACTGGAGCTATTTCAGGGTCCATGTTCCTCATTGAATTTGGCTTTTTTTCAGAAAAGTAACCGCTAGGTTTAAACACTCCACATGTTTACTCAGAGAAGTTGGCAATTGTCCTGGAGCTGAAGCCCAGCGAGTGTCAGCTCAGCTGGAAAAATCAGGTTCGCAGCTGGTTTGAGCAGAGCGGAGCACAACCCGCCTGAGAGATGGAGGCGTGTCCCCCGGTTCCGTAACACTGTCATGAAAATAAAAACCCAAACGTGTGGAGTTATAGCGCGCCCATACCCACACTCTGGCAGAGCCGATGCCAGCGTTATCTCTGTAATTTGTGTTACTATAAATATAACTAAAGCTAAAAACAACATGTCCGTCTCCTCTCTCGTTTACGCAAGGTGATCTAGCTCAGTGGGCGCTCACACGTGCTGATAAATGTACCAAAAACTAGCAAGTTTACAAAAGATTGCCTGTTCTGTGTTTTTGCCATGACTTATTTTAAATTTTTCTAGTGGAGCTTCTCTGTCTAAATATGTTCATCATCTCTTATGCCTTTCAGGTCATCCAGAAGGAAAAAGTCAAAGAGTTAAATTTGCATGAGGTAAGCATTCACCATCTTCAACAGCTTCAAACTAAAGCCTTCTATGCCCACTACAGCGAGTTAGCAGCAGCAGAGATTAGGCAGATCTGAGGGATTCAGGATGTACTGCGGGTCAGTCAAACGGCAATTGTTCTGTTTTGAGAAGTTGTTTTCTGGGGAAGTTTGGAATGCACAGGACATCTAACAGCCATTACTTGCATGACTAATTTTCCTGTGAAAACTACCACGTCGTAGTGAAATCATCTCCTTCCGTCATTACATAAAACTGTGTCAGCTCGGCTTGGAAAATGACGAGCTGCCGGGAAAGCAGCAGGACTGGCTTTATCTGTGGAGCAAAGCAGCCCCAAGCTCCATTCTTATAACGCCATCGTGCTAATGAGATGTCCAGAATAGCGTCACATGTGCTTTTCGGTGCAGAGCTGTACGTGGCTTCTTGTCAGCAGAGGCGGAATTTCCCACCGTCTCGCTGGGCTTCACTCGTTCTTTGTTTATGTTCATAAAAGCCACAAGAAAACATTAGAGAGTCATGTGAGTGAAGTCTGTGACAAAGTAACCAAGCTGCATTTGGCTGAAGACAATAACGCACACGCTGGGTGGATGACCCACTTTTGAACGCAAATGACCCCCCCCCGGAGACGGGTGCAGCCTGAGCTACAACTCATCATTTCAGCGGAATGTTTACAAAATAAGGGACCTGAAGAATCAGTTTACAGGTCCAGACACGCTCAGATATTTTTGATGTGCGACCCGATCAGCCCTCTTAGAGCGGTTCTTGTTTTTAGCCAGAGTTTGACACTGTGTCCAGTTAGCTGACCTACATGTGCAGAAATAAACAAGGAAACAAAGATGAGTGTGGGATGACTGCAAGTGTGTATTTTTTTTTTTTTTAAACTCTTTCATCCAACATGATTCCACTGTCGCACACGTCCACTTGGCTGGTTGAGACATCCTCGTTTTATCTTCAGGCTAACAAATTGAATTGGTAGTACACACCTGTCTAAATAGGAGAGTGGCTTTAAGCCGGATGTTTTATATATGGCCGATGACAGCAGTTGATGTGAGCACTATTGAAATTTGCCCAGAGATAGAGCCAATGTGTCATTCAGACCTGTCTTCTCCGCTGTTAATGATGGGGTTGGGTTACATGCCTGTTTACCGTCGCTGTGTGTGCCATTGTCAGAGTGCCATGGCAATTTTGTACTTAATGCGTCATGTTTTGTGGACTTAAGCCACGATAAATGCATTTTAATGCTGACTAAACTTCAAAATGGCAATTGGGAGCAAGACGTGTTATCCCTTTTTCAACGAACGTCATTAACATGCCCATAAATATACTTTATATTCTATTCACACAAAAATAGGATGGAAAACAGATTAATTTGAACCAACGAACAGCCATTCTTCCCTACAAGTGCAGCGTGGCACTGAATATGTAACAAGACACATTTTCAGTGTTGGGGTTAGTTAGTGGTAGCAACATCAGCAACACGTTGTTGGCTGATGAGTAAGCTGGTGGTTCGTGTTAATGTATCATTTTGAATGTTGCAGAGAGCAACAAGCCTTCACCTTTCTGTTAGATAAAGAGTTGTGCTGAACAGTTGCCTTTATTTCTAGCATCTCTCCTGCTCAAACTTGCTGCTCTGAATGATTACAGTATTCCTGCGTTGCAGCATGTGGCGTCGGGCAGCTTTACAGAGTTTGAACAGGTAAAGCCCAGTGTAGACAGGATTTGCTCAAAGAGGCCGAATTGTGGAGTTATAAGCTGATAGATGAGACAGATGAGAGAAAACTTTTTGTTGACTTATTTCTGTGAGGGAGAGAAAAAAAAAACTCATATTACATTTAAAGGAAGATTAATATGTTTTTAGAGCTTTAATCACTGTCTGGAGTATAACTTTAAAGTGTTTTCTGATCCCCCCAGTTCTCCAGACTCAAATATTAAAAAGTGTACAAATAATATATAAATGAGTTAGAGGAGAACAGAAATGGATTTTAATTGGTTTTACTTGCAGATTTTTTATTATACTAGTAAATAGGTCATGAAAAAGTGGTCAGTCAGAGGGAGTTGGTCCTAACATGCCAGTTAACACGTCTTCTGTAGAGATTCAGATTCAGAGAGGTGGCGACCTTTTGATTTGAGTCCAGGCTCAGGTTACTTGCCATTTGGTCTTTTTGTTTTGTTTTTCTAGATTATTCTTAGCTCTCTGGGCCAGTGTCGTGTTGTTCTTTGTCGTATTATTCTCATGTCACCTTGTTACTTCTTGCTGTTAAAGATATGGCTTTTATATTCTTTTCCCTTTTTCCCAGACCCCAATTTCTGTGGGGATTATTTAATGACCTACTTCATGCTGAGATTTGCTTAGTAAGCAATTTATTGATTTGACCAGGTATAGGTAGTTTTTACAGGTTGATGTACTTACTCTCTTTTTCTATGTTTGATATCTGTGTGCATTAGTCTGGAATTTGTCTAATGCTTACAGGAATAGATGCTTAGTGGGGGAAAAAGGGTTGTGCCAGCTGGCTGAAGGCTTCACATCTCCACTGTGAGTGTGACACTATGAACAGCTCACTGAAAAGAAAAAGGAAAAAAAAAAAACACTAATCTATTCAACCATAAAGGGAACAAAGCACACTTTCTAACAGGGAACTTTTCTGTGTCCAGCACTCTTCAGGAGAAGGCCGAGAGCCACCTCGCTGTTCTTTTCACCCACAGTTGTCCAAGCACCCCTTAGAAGAAAAATAATTGACAGAGGAAACTTTTTACTATTTGGCTAAAGGAGAAATTCTTTCAGAATAATACCGAAAGAGTGACTAAAAGAGCTAATCCTTGGCTGGATGGGTACACAGTTTGCCGGCCTGTGTCCTGGCAGTGTGAGTTCCTAAGACTTGATGCTGCTGGGTGTGGACACGCTAAAGTCAGGAGCTTCTCTTCACTGGCCATCGATGAGTTTCACACCGCTTCCTTAACGGGAGTCATATAGAGTGTTCAGTTGGTCATTCAGAATTATCTTCTTTTTTTTCGGATCTTAAACACTCAGCCAGTTTTCTAAAACACTCCTCCATTCTTAAGTCATGAGGTGGATCAGACCTCAGCTTTTTAAAGTGTCTGCGGTGTCCATGCTCTGTGTGTGGTCGGGGTGTATGCTGAATGCCCTTTTTTAAAAGAGGACCCATAGCTTGCGCCGTAAAGTGGTGAAAGAGGCTGTAAGTGTGCTATTACGAATACGGCCATTTACATAAAAGTGGCCATTTAATGAAGATATTTTTACTTCTGAATTCCAGAAAAGCCCAAGTACAGTATATTTGGAAAGTGGATTGATTGGATCAGAATCTGTTGTCTTGAAATGAACAGCGATGTAAATATTTGGTGCCACCCTACGTCACTTAAGATGTGCAGCGGCTCCCTCATCGTCTGCTTCTTGGCCTGGTGTGTGGTCCCGGGGTGGTAATTTATTGTAGCCAGAGCACAGAGACGCAAGTGGACACCTTCCATTGTCTGTCAGGCAGCCAGGAAAGAGAAATGTGTGCCCTGGCAAATGTTCCCTATTACAAAGCCTGTGCGCTGGAAAGTGTGGGGAGGGACGGGGAGATTAAGTCTACGGTCTGTGTTGTCAGCTAGCATGACAGACAGTGGCCGAGCATAAGGACATCTGCAGTTCCGTTGATAAGTTGACCTTTGCAAAGCTTTTGTTTTTGTACTTTTTTTGTATTTTCTTTCTAAAGCCAGTTTTGGGCCCAGTGTGATGTCATGCCTGGTTGTTACTTGACATGATTCAAGCTAATTCGGTAGATGCTTAGCACTCTGAAATGTGTCATTCCCCATTATGAAACAATATTGAATGACATTACGTTGGCACTTCATTTTTTCTTTTTAAAAATATCATCAAAACACCACCTCTGCGTTCTAATTTTGGTATAACAAGGGGAATTTGTGTTAAACCTGTAGGAGGTGTGTGCATTTGAAACAATAAACATTCACAGCCTGCCCTTCAGGAATTCCTCAATGACCCAGAAATAACCCGGACTGCAGTTTGTCATGCATTTGGGTTTTGACTCAATGTTGAATTGTGGAAACAAAAGTCTGAATTCTTATTCTAAGTCAAGTCGCAGCGATGTCAGTTTTTCCTCTTAGGTTGGGTAAATATTATCATTACAAATTAAGCCTGTCAGAGGCTTCGTTTAGTTAGTTAAAACAGTTTGTCAGTTACCTTTCTTTCGTTTGTGTGTTTTTATTCTTTTGTGGTTTGTGGCCCAGTTGTTTCTGTTGGCCTGAGGGTGAAAGAACCAGAAACCAACAACAACCAACACATTGTCATCGCTGTGTGTGTGTGTTTTTTTCTTTCTTTTTTTTTTTTAACTAAAACTTTCCCCTAAACTCCCCCCTCTCTCTTTCAGATATGTGCAGTATGCTTGGAGGAGTTCAAACAGAAAGATGAGCTGGGGATTTGTCCATGCAAACACGCCTTTCATAGGAAGTAAGTATTAGGTTTAGTTTATGAGCATGCACACAAACGCACCCGAGTTTTTAGTTGATATAGTGAGTTGATAGAAAAAATATTATTATTGATTAAAGGAAAGAAAAAATATATCTTTCCAGTGTCTGAGCATTAAACTAAACCAGAGTATCTTTAGAGGGAGCAACGACATGATGGATTGCTTGAGCCAACTTTGTCCCACATCTACCCCTTGCCCCGCCATTTCAGCCGAGTTGTTTACATCAGCAGGGCACCTCCCGTGACCTAGTTTTTCCCCCCAGTTGCTGTAAAAATGTTGACCATTCACTGCCTTTAAGCTGTAAATCAAACACAGACTGCAAAAAAGAGAAAAAACATCAGAGAGATTCATACAGCTTCTTCTTTTAGTGGTAGAAAACTATGAACTGCAGTATACCGTTTTTTTACTTTAGGAAAACTTTACTGAAATACAGAAAAAAAGGGAAACTGGATGACTGTAACTCAAATGTAAGAGAAGTCCTGTTATAGTTTTGGGATCCGTCTATGATTCTGTAAAAAAAGAAAAGGATGGTCAGCCATAAGCTGACCACTCGATCCCTGACACAGAGCTTATGTAGCCACTTCATAGCCAACACAAAATCACATCAGTCACTGGACTGCAGAGACATGTACGGGAAAATGAGCTTAAAGCTTGCTTACGGTTTTCTGTCAGATCCAGTTTCACCTGTCCCCCCCATGACTCTGTCCAGATCGTAAAAAGCCCCCGAGCTGAAGGCTGGGTGGGGTCTTAGAGGGAGCCATTGTTTTCGGCCTGCTTTTTTGGTTTTGCTGTGACGACAGAAGTCTTTCGTAATGTTTACTCTTTCATTCACTACTGTTACCCAGAGTTTCACTTCCATTTTCCTTTTCTTCACATTTACTGAGCCCCTACATTGCACATGCTCTTATTTCCACCACCACAGGAGGCTTCTTTTGTGATGTGGCCTGCTTCCCGTTTACCACTGATCACAGCGCACAAAGACGCCGAAAAACCAGCCTCCTGAGAGAAAGAGAAGGGCCCCTTTTGGCTGTATTTATGGGACTCGGCATAGAGTTATACACTCTTTTAAGTGAACAGGGTTTAAAGACTTGTGATTCTGCTCTCACATCCATCTCAAAAATCTTGTCCACCTACTGTTAAGGAGGGCTGTCCGATCTATTTTGATGAAGCTGAATAGCACAAGACTGAAAGACTGAGATCAAAGCCCATGCCAAAAAGTGCTCTTCTCTGCTGGCCAAACCTTCCTTTTTAGTTACATGTGTATTACAGCACAACATAATACCTGCAGAGGGACTACTCTGGACACACCTCAAACAAATAATGAGCAGCTGCCCTGCACTCAGCCAGTTTTCAGCAGGCAGAGCTGAGACAGCCTTTTGGAGGGTGCCCTAAAGACACTGCAGCCAAAAGAGGCTTTCCTTAGAAAGGCTTACAAAGCCCGTCTCTTAAACTGGACACCTACTACATACGTTAGCCTTTGTCTAGCAACTGTCTAGCTGACCGCATTCCCTCCATCATTGAAATGCTCCTGGTCTGAATGCCAAGCTGTAACATCAGCAGAAAGAACCATGGTCTCAGTCTGTGGACAGTTTGTGGTCTGGTTTGTGGATCATACTCCTCATTATTGGCACAACCTTTTTTTTTTTTTAAACTATTACCGGAGTCTGGTGACGATAATTACTCAACTGAATCAAAGGCTGCTCCATTTAGCAATCAGTAGCTTAATCCACAGCTGAAATGTGAACGTTTCCTTCCTTCCAATTTAGTTTTGCGCGTTTGTTGCTTGATTGTTTAGCCGAGTGGTTGATAATGGGAGTATATTTTGTTCCCCCAGGTGCCTCATTAAGTGGTTGGAGGTGAGGAAAGTGTGCCCGCTGTGCAACATGCCCGTCTTGCAGCTGGCCCAGCAGGCCGGCAGCGCGGACCCCCCCGTGGCCGCCGAGCAGCCTCTGCCCGGCATCGAGAACCTGGTCTAGCAGAGGCAAAAGCATCTGTCAAAGTACACAACAAACACACACCATAACCAGTCCCGACACTCACGCTCTCACCTGTACGTGCACACTTTGCCATGAGTGTGAGGACAGGCAGGACAAACTGGAGTAACTGTGCAGCTAGAAGCGTGATTCTGCATCTCATCGCCTCTTTATCTTTGCATTGGTTCACAAAAAGCATTTCCTCACATCAGCTGTGACTGAAAGTTCGGTTGTTTTTTTTTTTTTTTTTTTTTTCTCCTCATGGACAAGATGATAATAATAGAAGTTTCTTTTCTGACTTGTTCATAACCAAAGCACTTTTCTGGGGACGTCAGCGAAAGACGAGGAAGAGGAAAACACAAAAGCCAAGAACTTCAATACACTAAAATATGAGTAGTTTCTCTTTGTGTGTTTTTTTTTCTTTCTTTCTTTCTTTTTAACAAGCACTTTATGAGAAGTCAAATCTTAATTGCTTGTGGATTTGAGTCCCAAGTTTATGTTTTATATTTTATCCTTAACTATTATTTCTGTGTACAGTGCAAATCAACATGGAGTTTTCATTTTGAATTTGGTAATGAGATTTTTAAACAATAAAGATGTTGATTTTTTTTAAAGGGACAAAAAGAATTCTGACAGTAGATGTCGGGACATGTGGATAGTGGTTTGTGCTCACACACATAGACCAGAAATATAACTCAGAGCGACTTGTGACATATTGTCTAACTAAATGTGAAATGTTCGAATGTGTTGAAGAATATTATAAGCAGACATACTCAAAAATATCTAACCACAGGAATTGAAAGCGAAATCCCCCCTCTGTGATTAGCTAAAACGGTATTGGTGAGCAACATGGTTCTCTGAGCTGTTACACAGCGTAAACCCATCTAATATCTTTTGGAAATCATGTCCACTGCTTTTCCTCACTCAGCTGCTGCATTGCTCTGTTTCACTAAAGCCACTGTGGTTTTCTTTCATAAAGGCTGAGACATTTAAGAAAAACTCATGTCAAAACTGTGAGAGTAGCATCACATGCTCTGAACGCAGTGACTGGATCTTAGCGATGGAAACGTATCAGAAAGAACTTAGCATTCTGCTTGCTTCTGTCCTGTAGAGTACTTCTTTTTTTCTGTCTTCACGGTACTGCTTCATAGAGAGACTGAGTAAGCAGACTGGCACCTGAACCACAACTATCCAGAGTGACCCCCCCTCCGACTGCAACAGCCAGTGGTCAGCAGATTGTTTTGAAACAGCATTTTCATTCATGCAGACACACATATGTGGGGCAGTTAAGCCTTTTGGCTGCGCTGTTCTGGTGCTTTCGCCTCTCTGCCTCTTTCTGTACGGTACCGGGTGCTTTTGTTTCCCGCAACGTGAACTCCGAGCTCAGCTTTTGTGGGTCTCTTTCTCCTCTTCCTAGCCAGTAAAGGTGTTGCCGCTGGTGCAAAAGGCGGGATTTGAAAAGCTTTACCGCAGAGCCCCAGTGACATCTGTGGGGAAAGTGCGATGTGTGGTCACCACTTCCCAAGGCAGGGGAATCATTTGGTCATTCGGTCACAGTTTCACTTCACTGTTTAACCACAAGAGGAGACAGGTTACCACAAAAAAATCAAAAACTAAGTTATCATTTAAACGAGATGAGATTGCATTTTCAGTTTCATGCTGCCTGGGCTTTTAAAGCCATGGGATCATGCTGCTTGCTCTTCTGATCTCGATTGGTGCCCAATCTATCTGTTGATAGCAGCCATGAAATCTGCCCCACTGATGTCACAGGGGAGGCTTTTTACTTCACGGCGGTGAACGGAAGGCTGTCATCGTCATGCAGCGTATCTGAAGGCACAATCTGTTATTCATATGTAAACAGGAACCCGTTTGTCAGCTGGTGGATTTCTCAGAAATCGTGCCTTTAACAGAAAAAAGGGCGACTTAGGATGTAAACACCATTCCATGCAGCGGGTTCCACGTCTCAGTTTGGAAATGTGGCAATGCCTTTCCCCCCCTGTGGAAGAAAAGTATTGTAAGGCTGACCTCTGACCCGAATGTCTCACATGTGCTGAATGTCTGCCCTATTTATTGTAAATCTAACATTAAAAGAACACAGTTGCCACCAAATCTCCCATTTAAAAGAACTCAAATAAGTGAAGTGAAGGCATTTGGACCTATAGATGACTCTGTAGGGCAGATAAGCGCCCACAGAACCAAACACCTGAAGGGCCTCTCTCAGCACCTGGTGTGGTGTGCTGCAGACTTTGCTGTCTTTGGTGATGAAGAGGCTTTGACTCTTCGGGTGAGCCCCTCCGCTGATGTTGCAGCGTGACGGCACACACCATCCCAAAAACAATCTTATCTTTCACTGCCCTGGAAAGACGAGACGAACACACACAAACACAAGTCTTAAAGCTTTCTCCCTGTTTCGCAGACTGGTCTTTGAATGTTTTGTTCAAGTGAGAGAGAGAAAAGGAGGTTTAATGTGAAAGCGTGCAACCTTGCTTTGCCAAGTTGCCACCTGCACCATCTCTGTTACATGTAGATGTTAGTTTGGTTAGTTGCTTATTTTGAGTGCACACGAATGGCTCTTTCTGCCAGGCATTAAGTGGCAGCTCACACTTCCTGCTATTTTTACCATCATAACTGTTGTGTTTCATTTTCACCCCCCCCCCTTCCTACCCCCCTTTCCCCGCCGTGTGCTGTCCTAATCCCACTAAAACACGTAAAGTGCCGACTCACCACAAAATGTCGTGAAAAACTAATTGCTGGCTAACAAACCAGAGGGATTAAAAAAAGAAATGAGAGGGAGGGAGTCTCTGTGAGGCTGAAAAACAAAACGGAATGGGACTGGGCTGCTCATGAATACAGTTATAATGTCTTCCCACAGCTGAAATCATCACTGACGTCAGCGTTGTTTCTGAGTGTGCCGTTATAAATAGAAACACAGTCAGGAACACCATTTCACATGAAAAATTAACCCACTGCCAGAGAGGGAGGCCATCACAGGGGCCCTCCCGGGATTATCCCCCACCGAAACGTTTAGGAGCAGGTAAAGCTCTCACATTCACAGAATGGGACTAAACCGCTCCCTGTTTTTGAGGTGTTTGGGGGACAGATTTAGGGGGGCACTTCCCTTGTAGCAGAGGCTTTCATTAAATCTTCCGTGGTTGTTATAGCGACCAGACCCTTTTAGGAGTTTTAACCTGTGTCACTGCCTCATTGAAGTTAGCCTTCCTCTTTGTTCGTATGTTGTTATTTATTCATCTGTAGCTGTAGCCCACAAATAACTTAACCCCTCCCACCTTTGGCAGCGTTCCTCACTGCACCCACTACACCCCCCCCCCCCCCAAAACCCCACCCCTTTTTAACACTGATTGTCGTTTGTGGACTTTCACAGACATTGTTTGTAAAACTAAGAATTCTGCAGCAGAATATTTTTGGAGACTATTTGCTGTACAGTATTTGTAAGCTCTATTTTTGTATATTGCTATTTTGAAGAAAATAATATGCTTTTTCTTTTTTTTTTTTCTTTTCTTGTCTCGTTTTTGCTAATTACATGTTTATTCATTTAAAGAAAAAGTTGCATGTGACTGACTTGAACTGTAAATAAAATTTCCAAGTTTCGGAAAGATCTCTTTGTGTTGAAATGATGCATTTTTGACTGACTGAGGAAAACACCTCAAGATGAATACATATGTTTCTCTAAACTAGATAAATTATTATTATATGAATATGAATAATTATATCTGTAATAGCTTTTGAATGAATATAGCACATATGTTCTATTTAGTTTTGAGATATTTTAGTTTTAAGATATTTATCTACAATAAAGGCAGAAAACGATCTGACGTAATCTGGAAAGTTACGCTGCCTTTTTTTGTTTGTTTTACCTTTGAACTGCTTATGGATCATCTCCAGGTTGAAGTGGATCTGAAATTCAGTAACCAGACATCTGTGAAGATTAACCAACAGTGCCACCTTGTGTTAAACGTGTGTACATCTAAACATACCACAAACATCTTAGTTGTTATAATAGCATGGCTATGATCAGTGTTAAAGATTTATTTCTACTGAAAGATTAATAAGAAAAATCCCACAGAGTCATCACTGGGAGGCATTTTCTTCACTCAAGTACTGACATAGCTGTGGACTTCGACCAAGGATGTGACTCATCCTTTTTATTGTTGATTTGTAGGTAATTAGTATTAGTCCCTCTCCATCTCCTAATTCAAATTTCTAATTCACATCTCTGATAATCTTAGCCACTGTTGGTGTTTGCGCCTGTGTTCTCTACCAGAGCTCATAACAAGGCATCGTTTAGCAGATTCACTAAGCCAACACAAGGGTTCCAGTATTTTCAGAGAGATTTTGTGTGGAAGCCACGCCAGGTGAACGTAAGAAGGAAAACCATCCCCTTCTCCTGTGTAGCTTTAAGCATCCTTTCTTGTCGTACAACTTCATAAAGTCTACACATGGTGTAACAGCGCTGCCCTGTGGTTATGTGGTGAATGCTTAAAAGCCTGAGAGCATAAAGACAACAGACACATACTTCCACAGGCAATCTAGACTCGGATTGTCTTGAATGAGATTTCCAGTTATGGTCACCAGATTCTTTTCACTCCTGTGATTTGATAGCAAAAAAATCTTACATTTAAAAACATTGCTGGCTGTCTTTAAAAGAGCTAGCAGTAAATGTATCTGAAAGAAAGGCCTAATCCCTGGTAATGGACCACAACCTGAGATTTAAAGAGTGCCAGGCATGCCAGCATCTTGTTTTAAAGTTTTAAACCTCTTAGGGCTTTAAACACGACCCATTAATTCCTCCCTGTCTGATTAAAACCACAATTAATAGAGGCATCGCATTTCATCTCGGATCTTTAGAAAACAGATATCTGTTAGAGTGAAACCTATTTTTTCTGTTTCGAGAGAGAAAATCAGAATGTTTTGAAGGGTTGATTGATTTTAATGAGAAAGTTAATCCGGTTTCAGGTTTGGTTGAAACTGATGAAAAAGGTCATTTCCGAGGGGAAAATGCTCAATTTAATCACTTCCAAATCAATAACAATCAAATAAATGCAAAGAAAATACAAATAAAAAAAACAAAAAAACAGCCGTAAATCACCTTGTTATCATCTCGTTATAATGTGTGGTTAATGTAAGTAATTATGGCAATATCCCCCTCTTAACAGTTCAATGCAACACATCCAGCTACACCACAACGAAGAGCTTCAACAGCACGATGCTGAGGTGGCAGAGGGCCGTCCTGCTGGGGAACAGGGCCCCTGTGAGGGCCGCAGCAGAGCTGGCCGTGGTGGCGTTGGCCGCAGCAGAAGTGACCGCCGTGGTGGCGTTGGCCGCAGCAGAAGTGACCGCCATGGTGCTTGGTACCGCAGACACCGTCGCCTGTGCTGTCGGCATGGTTGCTGTCGAAACAGCCACTGAGGTATTCACGGTCGTCTGGGCTTTCACTGAAGCTGCAAATAAACAAATGAAACATCCGTGAAGCAGGGCCAGAGACTGGAACGCATGATAAGAAGGAAAGTGACTCACAGACTGCCAGGAGCTGCATCAGAACGACCAGAAGTATTTTAATCTCCATCTGTCCATCTTAAAAAGGAAAACGATTCACTCAATCAAAGAAAGTGATTTCTCATGGAAATCAGGAAAACTTTTTTCATTTATATGTAAAAGATAGATATATTATCTGCTTCTGAATAGGAATCTACATGAAAAGTCAGAGAAAAAACTCACACAAGACTTGGATGTTAATCCTGTAACTGCCAGTTGTCAAGTTTCTTGGTTGTGAGTCCACTTGATCCACAGATGTGCTGCTTTAATCCCTCCTCCAGGTTTTACTTTGCTTTTATATGGCGGGCGTCCAGCCTGGAGAGTGACGTGACAGAGACCTTGACCCTGGAAAGGGAGTTTTCTGCAACACCTGGGAGGATTAGAGGGCAAAACGATTGGTGACAAAAGGAGGTGGCTGTCACGGTGTGGGACACAAAGAGGGTAGTGTGTATATGAGAGTGAAATATTCTTGCCTCAAATGTTACGGCAGTACTTAAACAGAGCATACAGCACATAAAATGTATGGAACGCGATAACAGATAAGAAAAAAGAAACCGTGCCCTCAACCTGACGTAGATAGTTCATTTTGAAGTCATTTATCATTGATCTGTGCTGATATGCAGCTTGTGCAGAAAAAAAAACTTTTAAGAATTAGGTTTTAACCCTAAAAATAATAATAATAATTCATAAACAGCACCTGTCGTGTCTGCATAAAAAATACGCTTAAACATTAATTCTCTGATTGAAAAAAGTTAGTTTTTTGGTCATTCTGCCATTTAAACAATGTTTCTTTTTAAGTATGGATAATGTGTAAAGTGTAGAAAAGTAGTAGTGTTAAGTGCCTCTTAGGGGGAATTAAATATATAGTATATATTATTAGACAAAGATAGTAGCTGTGATAGATACAAGAGAAAACAGGTTAAATACAAATGAGCTGACAAACATTTCTGAGCATGGCAGGGAGGACGTTGTGGTAGAGTATCCAAGGATTGCCATGAAGTGCCATGAAGTGTGTGAGTTGTTTTTGTAGCCTGGCAACAATTTAGCTGATGAAGTCACACAGTACTGGCAGTCAACACAAATGAAGTCTCTTGACAACATGGACGGAAACTCACAGCCAGCAATTCACCCTCGCAACCTAATGTCCAGAAGCCCCGCTCCTTTGCCATCTTTTCGAGAAAAAATTGTCTAAACTCAGTTGTCATTTGCGTTGGACCTGTGATGGATTGTTCAGGGCGTACGCAGCCCTCACCTTTCGAAAGATGGGTCTTTTGCTGTGTTCGACAAAATGTACAGGACTAGTTTTAAAAGGGTTTTGTATGTATTTTTATTTAGAGCTTTACATGGGTTGACACCTGAGCATAACACCTAAATCCTCGGGCCTTGTACTGACTTTGTTCTGCTGGAGCAGCTTCAAAACCGTGGAACAGCCTTCGTAGTAGCTAAAACAGGGCTATACAAAACATTCCGTCTCTTGTTATTTACTGCATTGAACTGTTTTTGTTTTTTTCTTCCAGCTCTGAGTTTAAAAAGACGATTGTGGTCATTAAGATGTGGTCTTTAAGCTTCCCGTCCTGTTTTTCTTGCTTTTATTTACAGCTGATTATTTGCAGAGGTCTTCTATTGCAGTGGTAATATGTTGTTTTGAATAGGGTTTACAGACATAAAGTCATTTTCAAATTTAGAACCATGCAATCTGGCTTTGAAGCCATAAAACAGCCAACTCACTACGCAAGCCCACAAATGTAAAAGAAAACCGAACATGGCATGAAACTTTTTGTTTAACTTGTGAAACAGTTGTAAACTCAATTCTATGAGTTTTTTTATAGGGTTGCTTATCCTATAAAATGAAATATATATGAAGGTCAGCTCCAGGCCAATGAGACACACATGGAAGTCACCACATTTATGTGTCCCTTCTGTGGTCAACAAGCTGTTGACTGTCTTGTTAGGCCGGTGGAGTGTACATCCCTTAAAGAATGTAGGACTTTTGTTGAGGAACTGCTATGAGCAAACATGAACTCCTCACATCCAACTGGTGAAGCTGACAAATGGCTAAACGCATCAGTGATTTGTGCAAAAAAATGCATGACAGGATGACCTGACTATGGCCTTTAGGACCTTCATTCATTGAATTTTTTTTGTGGCAATTTCTGTATGCCACAATCTTATTTTACACTCACATATTTAAAAAAAATCTATACCGCACATACAAAAAGATCTTACAAAATATATAATTCGATTATGTATCCACTTATATCTTTTGTAAAATATTTTTCTACGTTTATGAGAAAAAGCTAGTCCCTCAATGTTCCCTTTATCCGATTTGGGCAACAATTGCACCCCACCATAAAAATCCTGTCCAAAGACAATAAGTGACCAAAGTGATGAACAAACTCATTTTATTGCTGGAGTTAAATCCTTCTTGATGTTTTTTTGCACTTTGGTTTTGGCATTCTGACTCTGTGACTTCTGCACCAGGGCCAGAGTGTCGCGCTTCTCGATCTTCCTCAGCTGTTTCTTCTTCATCCTCTTGATCTTTGCCGTGTTACGGATCTGTGAAACAGAGGAGAGGCGGACACAGTGAGGACGGAAACACCCAAGAAAGGTTTCTGATCCACCGGCGACTCGTGGTTAAAGCCGTAGACGTACCACTTGAACGATCTCCGCTTTGCGTTCGTTCTCTGCGCGCCGTTTCAGGTTTTCCTCTCGTCTTTTCCTCTTTTCCTAATGAGAAACACAGTTCATCAGAGATGCAGCCACGGCGATGTGGCGGTGGCGCCGCCCCCCCATGACACCCTACCTCTTTCTTTTGGGCTTTTTCCTCTTTCAGCCTCATGGTATACTGTTTCACCAGATCCTTTTCCCGCTTGGCTGCCATCTTCTTTTCCCAAGAGGTGCACAGAGGTTTGTCTCTCACCATCGCAGAAAACCTGAAAGACAAAAACATCCAATTTGTGAGATTTGAAAAGCCACCATCCAACTGCGGCTTGTGTCCCCACAATTCCACACAGCTCATGGAGACCTACTGCAAGACCTCTGATATCTCAAACTTGATTGCAAAACTGTTCTAAAAAGCATAGATGCAACCTAAAATAAATAAGTTGTTTTTTTTAAAGCAAAGAGCACCTTCTGTTTTTTTTATAACATGTTTTGGTTGTAGTCGGTGGCCACCACACAGTTTCAGCGTGAGGTCAGAGGTCAGACAGCAGGAGGGAACAACACTCGGGCATGTTTACCTCTGTTTGTTGCGGTCCTTCCACACTCGTCCTGACTTCGGTTTCCCCAGAGGAACCGCCGGGGTCTGTTTGGCACTTGGGGTCAGACGAGGTTTCTTCTTTGGGATGCTCTCTGGAGCCGTTTCTGTGGGCGCCGGCTTGGACGGGGGGTTCTGTTCCACCTCGGGTGCCGTCTCGGTACCCGCTGCTACAGTCTGTGCTGTTAGCTCTGTTAGCTCTGTTAGCTCCGGTTCCGTAGACGCATTAGATTTAACCTCAGCCGGACTTTCGGGATTCTGCTCCTTATCCAAGGTATTAGGTTCTTCCACCGTTGGAAGTTCCTGGAGAACGGACCTCCTGGTCCTTCTGCTGGAAGTCCTCACCGGGGTTGTCGAGTCCAACAGTGCGGCAGGAGGACGCACTCTGCGGCCGCTCCGGGTCCGTCTGGTCTCCGCTGGAAGCTCCTCCACCTCATCTTCTCCTGGTCCCGCTTTGGAAGCGGTATCTTCCTCTGGCATAGTTTTCCCTCTTCTTGACATATTATCTAATTAAACCACACAACTGTACATAATATTTCACGGCTCCAGAACCCACGTGTGACCGTACACAGCACTGTGTACGCCGCTTCACTTCCGGTTCATTTCCGTCCAAACCAGCACTGCGGCGCATTACCGCCACCTGCAGGCGTGAAGGGGAACGTCAGTTTAGTGAACAAACGATCTAATTGAACATCGTGATTAATTATGCTCTTTTTTAAAGGTGACCGGGAAAATTTAAGTAATGATATCAACTCCACGAATTCATACCTCCCTTTTCATGAAATGTAGGCAAAGCAGTGAGCCTTGAAGTATTCAATGAGAAAACATTTTTAAAAGTCTCACCACATAAAACAGAACAATTTACTTAACATTTAGTGGCGCCTTTAATATTGTATTGGATGCCCTTATAACTAGTTTAACACATCACAATCTTTGACTTGTTGTTTACTGCCGCCCCCCCTCAGTTGTACAAAGCATCTATTTTATATAGTTAATAAGCTGGAAATGTTAAACCTTTTCCTTAATGCTAAATCCGAAAGGATTTCTGAAACAGTTTCTGATTAAATCTCAATTAGTTACTGAATTCATTTTATAGTCGAAGCATTCAAAAAGAAAAGTATGATGCTGGTTGTGTGATATGCTTTTATTTTTTCAACAGAATGATAACGGTGATAATCAGTGGGCGTCAGTAAACCGCTCAGCACTGCCCCCTGCTGACCGAAACTCGTTACTCCATCACCCTATCACATGACTTCACTTCCGCAACTCCTGACGCTGCTCTCTCAGAAACATCCCAGTGCGCTCGGGGGAGGAAGGCGCTTGGTGTTTGGTCGTGTTCTGGGAAATGTGGCACTGTGAGGGGGCTTTGAAAGAGACCTGGACCTGAAAGCGGAGCGACGGGACTCTGAGCGGAGGCACCATGTCTGTGCTGAAAGGTGGCAGTCTGCTGCTTGGGCTGCTTCTGCTCGGACAGTCAGTGAGTAGTTTTTGTGGGAATAAACGTGAACCTGAGTCTGTGAACAACAGCCACATTTAGAGATTTTTTGTTTCTGTTTAGTGTGTGCTTCGGATTTGTAAAAAACAACACTTTGCATCTTGATGTATGGTTGTTTTTGTGTCCTGACACTCGTATTCACATCAGTGTTTCAGGAGTTTTACGGTCACTGATCAGGATTTTAATACCCATGTTTTAATACAATGTTTTAGAAGGAAAAAAAAGGATCGTTGTAAATTCACTTTCATTTGTTCAAACACTAAAGACTAAGTGGCTGACACGTCCGGGAGTCACCTGAGGCCTCATCATGTCTCATGTGACACAGCAGGATGACTGATTCCTGGGAGCTTCTGTGTAGATTGTGAGTGATAAGATGCTTTCTTTACCTGCAGCTCGACGCAGCTCCATCATTCAGTGTGGACTACAAGAACGACTGCTTCCGCAAAGATGGGCAAACGTTTCGCTACATATCCGGAAGCATCCACTACAGCAGGATCCCCAGAGTCTACTGGAAGGACAGGCTGCTGAAGATGTACATGGCTGGATTAAACGCCATCCAGATGTGGGTCTTTTTTTTTTGCTTTTTCAGTTCAGTCGCTCTCTGCACGCTTACGTTTGACTTTGGGCTCTTAATATGAGTTACGGAAAAGGCAGGTAACTTAGTTTGAAGGAAGACAGCATTATCCACTGATAGCACTTCAAGGTATTGGTCAGATTGTACTGACTCTTGAACCACTTTTCAGATACATCCCATGGAACTACCACGAACCGTCTGCAGGCCTGTATAATTTTAGTGGCGACAGAGATTTGGAGCATTTCCTTAAACTGGCGCAGGACATTGGTTTGCTGGTCATCCTTCGGCCGGGACCCTACATATGCGCGGAGTGGGACATGGTAAGTGACTCTGGAAACTCAGCAGTATGTTGATCTTATGCTGAAAACGTGTTCATGTCAGTGATGTGGGACGTCAATCCCTAATGACATGGCTACAACACAATGTCCACTGAAGAAGACATGGAAGAGTTGAAATAACTTTTTAAAAGCAGAGCCAGCAGTCCGCTCCTGAGCTTCCTGCTACGGAAGGTGCCTGTAATCTTACGTCTATCCTGCCTCAAAGCTAATGAGAACCACGTGTACTGTCTTGGTTCAGAATGGGACCTAATTTACCCATTTCCAGCTCTATGCTATTATTCTGCAACTCTAAAAACGTTGGATTCTGTTCTGTGATCGACCAGCTGGAAGCCCGCCAGAGGACAAAATCAGGTTCATGAAACGGTGGCTCGGAGAACCTCAGTTTAGCAGTTTTGGTTGGAGTTGATAATGGACCACACATTTACGAAGCCTCCTTGGACTAACTGATAGGAGTGCAGATCCACGGGACTGTCCCATACTGTTACTTTGGCCAAACTGATTTCTTTGTCGTTGTATGGTCGTTGCAGCTTAAGTTCTTTGTTGGACAAAGTTGCAACTGAAAGAAGCATCTCTTAGTTCAACCCTGGAGCGCTTTCATTCTTTAATTCTCTGTTCTCCGATCCCCCTTTGTCTGTGTGACCCATCAGGGTGGTCTGCCCGCCTGGCTCCTCAACAAGAAGGACATCGTGCTGCGGTCCTCAGACCCAGGTGAGCCGCCGCGGCACCGGGCATGACCGACGGGAACATGCCACGGTCGACCCGCACACTCATTTATGTGTATTTCAGACTACATCGCAGCCGTGGATAAGTGGATGGGGAAGTTGTTGCCCATGATGAAGCCTTATCTCTACCAGAACGGAGGTCCCATCATCTCCGTTCAGGTGAGGCATCACCTATTGTCGTGTGTTATACACTTCAACACAGGATTTGATAAGAAATCTGTCCCTTTTTTTTTTTTTAGGTAGAGAATGAATATGGCAGCTACTTTGCGTGTGACTACAACTACATGCGTCACCTGACCAGGCTGTTCCGGTCCCACCTGGGGGATGAAGTGGTGCTGTTCACCACAGATGGCGCCGGGCTGAACTACCTAAAGTGTGGCTCTATACAAGGCCTGTATGCTACTGTAGACTTTGGGCCACGTAAGTTTGCCTCGGGACTCTACATCTTAAATGTCCCACAGATTGTGAAACAAAGCTTTAAATGCAAAGTGCGGCAGTTGGAGAATGATACAATAAGTTTGGCTTCCTGTTTGTGTCTGCTGTGGTTCAGTGTCACATTTTTTATTAGTCACAAGTCATGAGCGAGGAAGTTCCGCTAACATAAGTGTGCTCGTGTTTGCTCCCTGACTTTTCCAGATTCGAACATCACTGCTGCCTTCGCTGCGCAGCGCCACGCTGAGCCCCACGGACCTCTGGTAAGCAACCCCCCCCCCCCCTCCTTGGATTCTCCAAAGCCCACGCTTTAGCGTTGGCTCCCAGCTGCTCACAAACATCCCTCCTCTGTCACAGGTGAACTCTGAGTTCTACACGGGCTGGCTGGATCACTGGGGGTCCCCTCACGCCGTCGTGTCGTCTGCTGAAGTGGCCAAGTCCCTCAGCCAGATTCTGGCCATGGGAGCAAACGTCAACCTGTGAGTTTGCAGATTCCTTTGATGGGTTCACGTGAAAAAAAGACACACAGTCAGGTAGAGAGACAAACAAAAAGAAAAGAGGGTCCGCCCTCTTTCAGTAAAGTGGAACTTATCATGGCATTTTAAAAAATCATCAGGTTAGAAAACATCTGAAATACTAAAGTAAGCCATCTTATGGATATGAAGGGTTGCAATCAGCAGGGACTTCTGTCTCACTGTCACTCCTCCCTCCACAGGTACATGTTCATCGGAGGAACAAACTTTGGATACTGGAACGGTGCGCGCATTGTTAAAGTCTTCTGACTCTTTCCTCTCACGAATATCTGACCGCCTCTGTCGCCATGCTCTCAGGCGCCAACTCGCCGTACGCCGCACAGCCCACCAGCTACGACTACGACGCTCCGCTCACAGAGGCGGGGGACCTCACAGAGAAGTTCTTCGCCATCAGAGAGGTCATCAAAATGGTATGAACACGGGGTCCGGTACGGGGAAAGTACCAGGGCCCCTCAGCTGCAAACGTTGCTCTGCGGGCTCATTGTGTCATTTTAAAGAATCTAACGCAGCCTCTTTAAACAGTACAGGGACATACCAAAGGGCCCGGTACCACCCACAACCCCGAAGTTTGCCTATGGCGCTGTTCCGATGAAGAAGGTAGGCCCTTTTTATGCCTCTGTGTTGGTGATTTACTACTCTTCTCTGTTTACATCAACTTGCTAATGAACAAGTATTGTTTGACCTGCAGTTATCATGACTGAGAATGAGAAGTGACATGTGATTTCTGCACCCCCTCCCCACCCCCCCAACCTCCGCCTTAGCTTCAGACAGTGGCAGACGCCTTAGAAAAACTATCCTTTTCTGGCTCTGTCAAAAGCGTGTATCCCCAGACTTTCATGGAACTGAATCAGGTAATCTTTCAGTCTCTTTGATCCAGAGTAGCAGCCGCTCATTTTTAAGCCCACAGCAGCGCTTTTTAAAAAATGATCCTTCGCTGATTTGTGTCTCTGTGCACCGCAGGCTTTTGGTTATGTGTTCTACAGAATGACTCTGCCCTTCAACTGCAGCAGTCCCACTCCTCTGTCATCGCCCATGAACGGGGTGCACGACAGAGCATACGTCTCTGTGGACGGGGTGAGTGTGTGCACTGCACCGCCATCACAATGCCCATTCCTTCAACCCCAGTCCGCTTTTATCATAGTTCCTAACTTAGTAAAACAATATCAGCGGCAGGTCGTTGGGTTTGTTGAGCCTTTATTCACTTTCTGTTGCTGGATGGACTGCAAACAGACAAAAGACTGGAGAAATAGTTGAAGGTTTATCCTTCTTCCATGGGAGGAGAAACAAATTCATTGAGTGAAAATATATACTTAGGTTTTCTTTTTTTTGTGAGATGTGCTTAGATTTAGGTTTAGATTGGCTAAAAAAATTGCATTGGATTTCTAGATTTATTTATTTTTCATTTATTGCCAAATGATGCTAATACAAACATGCTTATTCTCAAGGTGTTTGCAGGAATTCTTGAAAGGAACGAAGTCATAACTGTCAATGTGACGGGGAAAGCTGGCAGTCAGGTGGACATACTAGTGGAGAACATGGGCCGAATCAACTATGGAAGAGACATCAATGACTTTAAGGTTTTTCTACCAGTTACATTTCTAAGCTAATGTTTATCCCTTGAGTTCTGACGGCACGATGGTCTGCTGTCCTACGTGTATGTTGTAATGTTTAATTAATTAAAAACATTTAGAAAAAAAATCAGAAATGGCTTAACTACAGTTTTCACCTCACAGGGCCTGGTGTCCAACCTGACTTTGGGGGGACGCACAATCACCGGCTGGACCATGTACAGCCTGAACATTGATGAAGTTGTCGGCCAGGACCTCCTCGAAGAGAATCCCCCCACACAGGCAGATTCACCCCAGCCCGGTGTTTTATCGCCTCCGACCTTCTATAAGGGGAGCTTCATAATTCCCGATGGCATCCCAGACCTCCCTCAGGACACCTATGTCACAATGCCCAGCTGGAGGAAGGCATGTAACCTCAACAAAGCATTAAGACTGAAATGAGATACAAAGAGGAACCAGATAGCTTGTATTTTTCAGTAGGACTCAAGAAACAAAGTCTTATATTGTATAATTGTTGTAATTTGCATGCAGTGGAATTATTCATTAGTTTTAGCACTTTAATACTTACTTTAGTCTTATGTTAGTTTACCCCATCATTTATGAAAAAATCTTGACATACATACAGTTTTAGGTATATAGAACTAGGAAATATTTGACCAGTCTCAATTACAAATAAAACAGAAGTCAATAAGAAGTTGAAAGCTTTGTGTAAATATGTGTGACGTAGATCTTCATGACAGATATTTTCTTTTTGTGGTATCACGGGACCTATTGTCCCCTGAGTAAATGTCTTTTTTATGGCGGTGACTATTTAAGTTCCTCCTCCATGATTTCAAATTTTCTTGTGTTTTTTTTATTTGATGAAAACGCAATACAAACATTTTTCATGTCTCTCTTTTAGGGGCAGATCTGGATCAACGGCTTCAACTTAGGCCGCTACTGGCCCACCCGAGGCCCCCAGGTGACTCTTTTTGTCCCTGCCCACATCCTGAGCACAGCGGCCCCCAACAACGTGACTGTCCTCGAGCTTGAGGGTGCTCCCTGTAGCAGCCCGGAGGCCTGCAGAGTGGAGTTCACCACCACCCCAGTCCTTAACGGTGCAACCCTGTCTGACAGCCAGCAGCATAGGAGGATGTTTATCAAAGAGGACTTACTGTAATGATAAGGGAACTCAAAGGAGATAATTTTGCACTCGATGTCATAGTGTCCAAATGGTACAAATGTCAAATATGTTTGGTTATTTCTTTAAAAGGTGTGTTATATAGAAACAGGCTGATTTTGTGTATGAATCATGTATGTGTTTCTACCTCACTGAGTATGTATTCACAATCATTTCTGTCATTATGTTTACTGGCTAGGTTCACTGGCAATGAAAACCATGAAATTCACTCAGATGGAATAGGTGTCCACAAGTTGTGTAACTGATCATCAAAAGTTACTGTTCACCGGACTCTTGCTGACATTAAATTGATTGATGTGCCTTGCAACAGAAAAAATTAAAGTGGGATTTTACTTCGGAACGGAAATACAACCAGCCCATGTCTTAGTTACCATGTACATCACCACACCATTGGAAGATGTTGTACCAAGTGATCACGTTAAAAGATTAACAAAACACCTTCTATAAAGTCTTTACTTCATTGCATGCTAATTTCCCTCAAAATTCAACTGACGATGTTATAGTGGAAACTTTTTTCGTTAAGAGGAAACAAACACAGTGATAGTAAAAGAAAAAAATATTTTTTTGTGAAAAAAAAAATACTGACATGCCAACAATATAGCCCTTCATTTACATGAGTAAAAGTTGGACTGGAATCATTTTCGGTTTTCCTCGTATGGAAAATCGAAGCATATGTTTTACTAAAAAGTAACAAACATTTAAAAGATACTTAATCCACATTTCAAAACGTCTACATAATGTTGATCACTTAGTCTACAGTAAATTGGCAGGGAGAAAAAGAGAGTACCTCCAAAACAGAAGGGGGCGACCTGCTGAACAATTTGTTTCTCAAAGAAGAAGCCCGAAAGAACAGCAATACCACAGAAGAAGACCGTACAGGCCTGTAGGAAGTCAAAAGAGCTGCGAAAAATAAGGTAAATAGCAAGTAATTTTTATCACCTGGGAGGTTAAAGAAGACTTTAATCCTAAATTTATTTTTTTAAATGTAACATTTTAGATGCAGCTTGTTCGTAAGTGTAACAGACTGTTTGTATGGAAAGGAAGGTGTGTCGCTACAGTAGTTATGATTAGCTTTTTTCTAGCTATTGACCTGCTAACTACTTTACATACTCAATGAACCAGATTCATTTCCGTCAATGCCTGAAACGGACTTTTTTCCAACACCACCAAGCTATTATGTTTAATATACTGCAGTCTATAGCACGAGTGCGTCTCTACAGTTTTTAAAGCCAACATGAAATTAACCGGTGTGTGTTTTTGACTCTTCGACAGGTCGGAAACACCCGTCTGGCTCATCATTTTAAAAGCCCCAACATGACCTGAGAACAGACCAGCTCGCCAACTAACTATTAGTCCACAGACATGCCGTGGAGTGAAAGCAACAAGAGGACATATCTTTAACAGTACACTCCCCAAGACTGGCCAGACTTCGTGTATATATTTTTTATGTTTATTTTTTAAGTCTTTTGTTTCTTTTTGTACCTCCAAGTCTTTGAACGACCATCACCATGGTGGATAATCGCTATGCCACAGCTTTGGTCATCGGCTCGGTGCTGAGCCTGCTGTCCACGGTTTACCTCTCCGTGGCTGTGGGGACCCAGCACTGGTTCCAGTACAGCAGCCCACCTGTCAAACGGGACACCAACGTCTCAGAGATCAAAGAAGAGTTCATCAACAGCGAGTTTGATGAGAGGACCTTCGGGGAAACGCCCTACTCCTCCATGTTCCGCCTGAACGGCACTCTGGGACTGTGGTGGAGGTGCATTCAGGTGCCCACCAAGTCGCACTGGTACAAAGAGCCAGGTACTCCTGTGTTCAGTGCTTCACACTTTTCTGTTTTTCCTCTTTTTTTCCCCATAGTAGTAACCACAGTCCCACTACTGCACTGTAGTTAATGTGACACAGACACAGACACAGAAGACACTCTTATGGAGATGTGACACTTCCTACATATATATATATATATTTTATTAGAATTAAATGGCTTTGGGGTGATCATAAAGAATCTTGTCATTGTTAAAGGTGCAGGTGATCAGGGGGTCCTTGTTTTCCATTTGCCTCGATGAGAGTTTAATGAAGACAGTTTTTGCACCCACTTATCTGGGGTTCCAGATGGACCAACAGCTGTGTGTTTGGACAGGGAGTCACATGACCCCTTAGGCAAGTTCTTAATGAGAACCCCCGCAGCAAACAAAATGTCCATTTAATTCTTTTTTTGTAATTATTAACGTTGTAAATGCCAAATGCATGAACCAACTCAGAGGTTCAGCCAGTGTATCATCGCTGCGGTGTCCTTCATTAGTTTTGTGCGCTTGTTCTCTATACAAATGGTGTCTGTTTGCAGAGTTGTGTAGGAATGAGTAGGTGCTAAAGATAAACCCACATAAATCATCATGGCTGTGTGAACTAGCACCTAGGAGAGACTCTGCTGATGCAGAGTCTTTTAGAAGAAATTTTTCTTGCATAACATTTCATATGAGCATTAATCCCCACCATCTGTCTCGTCTTATGAGTTTTTTTCCTCGTTAGGAACAATAAAAGGCCAATTGTAGTCTAAGAATTAGACCACATTGATAGAGTAAAAAGTGGAATAGGCAGTATCATTTATCAGCACCTTATACCAGTTTTTGTTTGCAAAACGCACAACATTGTTCATACATTCACTGATGATGCATTGTACAGTACTAACACAATGGTTACACTTACTAATCCGGGAATCCTCTGCTTCTGAATAAGGAGAGTGATCATATGAGAGAAAGGACCTCTAGCATGTAGAGATAATTTTACATAATTTTGTGCAAACAAGAATAGTTACAATAGTAAAAATAAAATAAAATAAACATTCTCACAGGACAAGTGTGAATACATAGAGAAAGTTGCTGATGGAGGAAATATGGTGGAGTAAAAAGTACTATGCTCCTGCCACATGCTGCGGTGTCAAAGTGAAAAATGGCAGAAAATGGCAAAACTCCTGAGAATGTCTTTTTCATAAGTGCAGCTCCTGTGTAGTATGTTGGATTGCACCAGTGCGGGGGAGAGCTAAGATACCTACTCACACACAAAAACACATGGAGCCAGATAACTACCCACCTCAGCCAGAGAGGTAAGAAGCTAAGTTACGGGAAACCGATCAGGGGTAAGAGTCAGTCAGGCTGGAACGAATAAACTATCAAGATCATGGTTTCTTCTTCTTTGGTTTCTCTGTGTGCCTCTGCCCTCAGATAATGGATAAAGTACATACAAGGAAAAAAAACAACAAAACAAGTTGATCACCGCTTAAATCTGGTATGATGAAATTAATGTTAACTAGTGTCTTAATCAACAGATGATCATCATTCAGTCAATGACAGTGATGGCAGAGCACAGCCCCCAGAGTGCACTCACCAGAGTGGATGTCCAGGTAGTTTACAATATGCCAACCAGTTGCTTTATCTGATCTCTTGCCTTCAGCAAAGCTTTTTTAGCAGACATAAAATCACTTAGACGACAACATATGTGAAATTGTGCAACTCCGCTTACAGGATAAACATCTTTAAGGTTTTCTCATCTTTCCATAAAACTTTCCATGATTTCTTTGATGAACAAGGCAACAAAACAATGAGGTGAAACTTTACATGCTGCTAAATCTAAACAGAGTGCTGATGCTGCCGCTTTAACCGTCATTCAGCTGCCTCGCCCTTCCAAACGCCTCACCAAAGACGAGCTCCAGATGGCCACAGTTGTTTTTTTTTCTCTAAAAAAGAAGAAGCTAATCTTGGCATGTGAAATACCTGTTGGCACGGTGTCGTGTTGATCTCACCGATGCCGTGGAGTGAAACAAGGCCTGTTATTTGCAACACTAGCTTGATTGAGACCACAAAGAGGCAGCTGAATGACGGTGACATGACGGGGATGTCTGAAAGTATGTTTCCATGGACTTCTCAACCCTGCTTCCAGTAGATATCCTTGGTATAGACAGCTCCTGCAGCCTTTCGCTCTCCTTTCCACGCCTTCTCACGTTCAATGTTTGTTACATTTATGGATTGGTGCTCTTTTTTAATTTTAGACCCAAAGATGGAGACCACCTGTGTGAGCTTCACACTTCCTCAGCAGTTCACCCCAAAGTACAAATACCTCGAAGACCACAGTGAGGAGGATCTGCTGAGAACATGTGAGTCGGCCTTGATTTTCCATTTTGATATATCCAAAGATTGGTGAGGCTATATATTTATTTTAAGATATCACTCATGGATATTTGTTGCCAATCCTCGACCTTAAAATATCTGTTGAAAAGATGGTTTTGTTCCTGTTGTGAGCTACAGGTGACAACCTTTCTCACTGTGCTCACCTATTCCGACATTTGGCATTTATATAATTTATGAATAAAGTAATCTATCTAGCGATCTTTAAAGATAGCGATCTTAAACATATTTTGAAATTGGTTCAAATCAATAATCGGAGAACAACCTGCATTTAACACTGAATTTGAACTGAATGTGGATGCATATTGTAAGGCTTTAAAGCTCTGATGGTGGTCTTTTGCTCAGATTTGTGGAGGTGCCAGTTTCTCCTACCGCTGGTGTCGCTGGCTCTCGTCTTCCTCAGCGGGCTCATTGGGGTCTGCGCATGCCTTTGCCGGAGTTTCACCCCAACATTTTGTGTGGGAGTCTTCCATTTTCTGGCAGGTGAGAAAAGAGTCCTGTTACTCGGTTGTCTTCAGTGGGTAAAGTTAAATGGAGACGGTAAAGGGGGGGGAGATCCATCACAATGTAGCAAAAAATGCATTTGCCTTCTCACTGTGATTCGCACCTGCTTGTAGAAGACAGGTATTATTAGGCACTGATACGACTTTCCAAATCCTCTTTATTTCCTTTTTAGCTGTTTAACAGGTAATTAATTTGTCTGACCTGCATCTTTGCAAATTTTTGTATATTATCTAAAAAGTTGGCATTTGGTACATCCCTCCTTTGTATCTTTTTATGGATATCCACCACAGCTAGTGTTGTCTTTGTCCATTGCATGGTTTGCTTCTGGTTGGGACAGCAAAATATTTTTAATATTACTGTAACATAACCTTTTGTGTCTTTGAGCAGCATTATATAGATCTGTTTTTTTATTAGTTAGATTATTATTATAGGAGCAATTCAGCTAAAGTGAACCACATGAAGGAAAGATCTGTTGGCCTAGACTAAAATTGTGAAACTGTACGAATATCCTTGTCGCTTTTTGACCATTGAATGCCTTAATGTTTGTATTTTTTAACATGTCATGCCAGATCAAGATTCACCTTTTTTTGTCTCCTCAAAAATGCTATATATAAATCTATATATGTTCTGTCTGATGTGTGAGTCGGTGTCACTGCTGTTTCCCCTTTAAATTAGACACTTTTAACAGTGCGTCTATATATTAAGGGCCATTTTAATTCGAGCTGGAACAGTGCCTGCGATCCCACATGGGACTTAAACTGTTCTTGTTTTATATTTGTTCAGTTTGTACTGGGAAAGAGTTTTTTTCTTGTTCAGTTATCTGAATTAATTAAACTCATAGACATTTAGAAGGCACTTGTATCTAAGAGCTGTAATTTCTCCCTCTTTCTCTCATCTGTTTATCAGGTTTATGCACTCTGGGTGCCGTCTGCTGTTTCCGGGCAGGAATAGATCTACTCCACCACTATTACAAACCACCCCTTGGGGTGGAGGGCTCAATGGGCTGGTCTCTCTACCTCGCCCTCATTTCCTTCCCTTTGCAGATGATGGCAGCTGCTCTGTTCCTGTGGGCGGCCAAAAGTCACCGCAAGAATTACACCCGCATGACCGCTTACAGGGTCGCCTAAAAGACAAGGTCTCAAACAGCCAGCACGGGTGAAACTTCCAAAACTTCCTCTGGCTGTAAATGTAGCAAAGTGTGCAGGAGTTAAGTCAAATGCTATTTTAGCAGCTAATCATCAGAAGTGCTCATTAGTAGATGTTTCATTCTTAAGGGTGGCGTTATCTTGCCTTTGCTTACACAAAGCATGTTTTCATCTTGTTATCTTGGAGATCTGGTGCCAACTGTGTTTCTGCATTTTTCTTCTTTTTTTTCTTTTTTGAAGCCTTCTCTTTGATTGCCACTGCTTCTAAAGCTGCTCACCACATTGTCCTTAACTCAGTTCAAGATTATACACTTGCACTGTAATGCATTTTTAGACCTGGATTTATCCAAGTCACGGTAGCTATCTCTGTTAGAGGAACGTCTCTAACACGCCTTTCTTTAAGTGTTTGGTTGTTCTTTGTTTGTGTAGGTAAATATCAAGCTTTTGCTCTGCATGCCTTTTAAATGGACCTTTCCAGCATGTGTGGTAATTGTAGTTTTCAGTCTGTGGTATACGCTGGCTAAATGTCACGAAATGTCAATCACTATAAATGGAAGCACTCACCTTCCATTGTTGTTGATAGATGTGATGAAAGCACAAGTTTTCTTCTTTTTTTATTGATCCAAATTAATTTGATGCCACTAAAGAAAGCCCTGAGACTATCTTTACTAAACTTCACTACTGCCATTTAACTTCTCTTAGAAGTGAGATTATGTTGTTGAAAAGGACTTAAATGGTTAAGTCACCAAAGCAATCAGGTCTTTGCTCTTTGTGAACTCTGTAAATAATTAACTTATCGGTTTAAGTTTTTTTAGAAATTGGTTTTAAGTCTTGGAAGTATTTGTTGAAACAGCAGAGTTACGGAGATTAGTATTTTCCCTAAAAGTTCAAATTGGAGGGAAAGAAAATAAAGTGAACTTTTGCTTCACTGGTTGATGTGAGAAAGCCTTTTTATTCAGGATTCCTTTTCACTCAGCACAAACTGTGATGCTTTTGGTCACGGTACTTGGTTACACATTGGATACGGATAAACTAGTGCTTTTGTAAAGGTTTTACGCACTCTAAAACTCACACGTATGGTTCAGTATCAATAAATTTGACATTTGATGACTTTTGCAAATGTTTTTTTTTTTTACTTATTCCGTTTGAAGAAGTTAAGACATCACTCTGAACTGTTTGTTTTTAATAAGAAGAAAGTCATAATAACACAGCAATAGAATTTTTGAGTCTTCATGGTGTGATGGTGGATAATAACATTCTGCTTTGACTTTTGGAGAAGAGATTAAACAAAAGGGCACATGTTGAGGTAAAACAGCGTGAGGAAAATATCCTCATATTTGTCCATAAGAGAACTTGTAATGACTTCGAGATGTTTTCTCTTTGACGGCCACTTCTGGGCTGATCATTCTTTTGTATATTTTAATAAACTAGACACAACAAGTTGAAGTGATTCATATCTCCATTTATTTGAACATCGTATTGTGCAAAAAGTAATACAGTTAGTCAGATCAGACATAATCATTTTAAAGTAGTGGTTAGGTGGAGGCTTTCCAATTTGCAGCAGCATACAGCGACGTGAGGCAGTGAGTGTCACAGATGAGCCTAACAGACACCTCACAGAGGCAGTAACGCTTCAGAACCGCTGTTCTGCCCACAGCAGGACTTTATAACACGTCGGTGCGTTGCTAATTTAAGGTGATTAGAAGGTACATGTGTGTTCTTCTCAGTTGCTATTTGGTCCTCTCTTTGCCCTCAGTCTTTTGCTACGCATATGGAGGGAAAGGTGAAAGTGGTCTTCCGAGCTAAATGGAATGCGATTTTCTTCTCATAATAAGCGCATTCATTCACAAAGAAGGGGTAGAGCTCTTCTCCCTCATGCTTCACCGTCTCCCCGGAAAACGTCAGGAATATGGGATCCCCGGGCCGCAGAAGCTGGAAGTCATTATCCTGAACAAATCATGCAGATTTGCCTTTTACTGTTTGGCCCTGGGCATCTTTAGCTCTACACACATTAATGTTGTCATCAAATGTGCATACGTAGGGTCTGGAATTGTCTCCATCTTATACTTCACCTGTAGCTTGGGGTGGATAGCAGCAGTTAATTCTCCGGCCTGGTCTCTTGGGTAGTCAACACTTCTAATGAAAGTATATGCTTCCACTTCACCCCCCTCAAAAGTGCAACCTGTGGACAGAGGAGCCATGGTGTGAGTGATGTGCCGTTCTGGCATCGTTTAGAGAGGGTGGCAGATTCTCACGCATCTGTTTGATTGGTCCTCCTGAACCTTAATTTTGGCCAAACAAAAATCTCCATGCTGGTTACTGGAATAGGGATGTTAGTTTTACTTTTGACTCCTACCAACCGCTATCACAACATGCAACAAATCAAAAAGTGTAAAAAATACTTGAGTAATTGTGAAATTCAAATTGTATACACATTGTATTATTGTGGCTTCTTCGACATGCATTAAGATGTGCCTTTGTGGCAGCGCTTTATTAACTGCAGGGGGAGCCCACCCCCAAAAAAATTATGTAATTCTCTCCCGTTACTTCAGGATAAAATGAGCTCAGGAAAAAACAGAGTAAGAGCAGGAGGGGTTACTCCTTACCAGAATTGAACTCCTCCAGCCATGCTATTGTGTGATCCACTGCTTCCTTCACCATGTTGAAGATGTCAGCTCTGAGCACCCCTCCGGGCTGAGGCCCGGCTTCTATTGCTGCAAAACACGATAGAAGAGGTCACACAATGTTCAGCTGTCTTGAGGAAATTAATCTTAGGCACGTTCAATGATTCATGCAGTTACCGAACCCATGCTTTCCCACCGATTCCAGGGAGTAAGCATCGGAGATGGGAATGTCCAGCTGGATCGCTTTCACAGGCATTGAGGGCATCTTACTCTAAAAACCAAACAAGACATTGTAGTTAGTTTAAAATGCTTGATAAGCAGTTTTTGCATGTGCTATTGCTTCTTTCAAATATTCAAGTAAGCCTTGTGCATTTAGAAGTATTATCATAAGAAATATCTGTGACAATAAGGTTGAACTGTGTCCAGAAATCCACACTTGGAAGATTAGTTGAAGTTCAAACCTGTATATATTTATAAATGTGCAGGGTGATCCAATCTACGGAGTAAAAAATGAGGCACAGGCCCATGTTGGCGGTAGTGTTGTGCAGATCTACAAGCAGGTCCACGGCCTTTTCACTCCCTTTGGGTCCCAGCTGGGTGTTCAGCTCCTGAGCTCTGCTGAGCTCATAGGGTGATGAATCTGTTATGGGAGAACTAAAAGCCAGATTGCTCTTTATAAGATCGCCATCAAAGTGCAAACATCTCCAATGTACATATCAGCTTAGTGTTAACCCGTGAAAGCAGCATTATTCACTTAAAATGTTGCTGCTGTTCTTCTTTCCCAACTTACCTCAACAAAGCGTCTGTAAAACAGCGGTTGAGGTCGGTATCTGTGTATCTTCTGCAGGCATCAACAGCTCGTGGATTTGCCAGGACAGCAGTGATGGAGACAGATCCCTTCTTTTTTGCCGTGTGTTTCTCCATTTCCCTCACGGCGTACACCCCTGTCATCTCGTTTCCATGGGTGCCCCCACAAACGGCAAAAGTGGACAGCGGTGGGAGAGAAACACACTCCATCTTCTGGAATGGGCACAAGATGGTGTTAGGACTTTGTTGCCTTTTATCACTTAAATGTTATTAGTCAAAATTCCGATCAAGCGGTTAGTTAGCAGCTTGTCAGGGTTGCGGTCTGGTCAGAGTCTGAGCTGAAAAGTGTAGAACTGGACTTGGCTAACACTGAGTAGATCATTTTATCAAATGAGTAACTGACGAGGATTTTACACATGAGGGGATCTTCCTAAAGATTAGTTAATCTTTAAGTAAAGATTGTATGCAAATGTAAACCATGCCCTATTTTGTCTAAACATTGTTTTTGAATGACTGGGCAGATACTGAAAAGTTCTTGACTGATAACCGAAACGTGACCTACTGACGAAAAGCAGTGCAACTCAAAGGAAGGAAAAGGTACAAACTACAAGAATTCCCTTTGTTTCATGGCTGACTCTTTGTCTTAAGGTTGGGAAAATCCCCAAATGACAACTTGCAGTGACAGGGTTTAATTTTTTTTTTCTAATTTCCAGTTCATGAGAAAAAACAATGTACACATACGAATATTTACAGGCATGTCAATAAATGATACACCACGTTATGCCGTTATTTTTATGGAAAAAAGTCAAACTGCGGAAGCAGATTGCGAAATTAGGACAACCCCGCTGCCTCCATGGACATCAAAGCAGTGAACAGCAGCCTGGCTCTGCTCATCAATTATACTTGATCAATTGATCGTCAACATAACCCCTATAGAAGCATAAGTTTTCCCAGTTAGATGGTCTGAAGCACAACACAATGACAAGGAGAGTCATCAGAAATGCTGTTCGAGAGGCGATTAACGTTTCCCATCAAACTGATCAAAGTTATGAGAGGAGAAGTAGCACCGTTGGCATGAAGGGGACTTGACCTCCCACCGTGCTCACCCCGAGGTCAGACTGTGCAACACTCAGATAAACTTTAACCAAAACTAGAGCCAACTCTTCTGAAGGCTGCAGTCAGCATGTTAAATGTTCAAGTTAAGGGGAGTACAATTAGATAAAGACTGAGAAGGTATTACTTATTTAAAAGGGTTGCAGAAGAAGGTATATTTTCTCAAAGAAGAACATAGTAGCATGGATTTTTAAATGCTTAGTTATGAATTGGAGAAAAACCAGAGAGGACACGAACATATCTGCGTAAATGCAAAGCACGGTGGAAGAGGGTTGATGATTTGTGCTTGATATTGCAGCTATGGGACACAGATACCTTTCTATTGAGGTGATCACAAACTCCACTGTATGTTAAAGTATTTTAGAATCAAATGTGAGGCCATCTGTCTGGCTGCTAAAGCTTGGCAGAAACTGGGTCATGCGACAGAACAATGATCCAAAGCCCAACAGCAAATCTAAAAAAAAATAGAGTCCAGACCTCAACCTGAGTGAAATGTGGTGGGGAGTTAAGAGAGCTGTGAAAAAACAAATGCCCGCAGTGAACCGCAATAAGCCAAAGCAACCAAAGAATGAGTCAAATCCTGGTCATCTGAAACCTCAGAAAGGGAAGTACAGTGTATTCCTTTTGTAAAAACGGTGCTGACGTTTTCCTGCAAATTTGTTTAGTAATCAAGAAAATTCAGAACTGACGTAACCAGGATTAACTCCAGTGGGATAAAATAGATATACAAGTACCCATCTACCAAGCAAATACATATTTTTTTTTATCTTGCACTAAAAGGATCTAAAGCTGACTTGAGTTTAAATCTGTACTGTACACCATTTCATCATGAAAGTGTTCCCAGCAGGTCAGAATCTGACTTCAGAGCATAATAGATTCACATAAAAAATCACTCTAATGAATTATTGATAGCTCTGATTGGTCTTTTGGTGAGCATGTTGGAATTGTGAGTGTTCTGTTTTGTCTCACCTATAGACTGTTTTTATAGTGGAACATGTTTCCATGTTCCACAGGAGGGCCTTTAACTGCGGATCAAGAGGTCCCCAGTTCAACTCTTGGTCCCCCCTACTTTGTAAGTCGCTTTGGATAAAAGCATCTCCTAAATGCATAAACATATGCTTCATATTTTAGAGACTAGTGGACAATTAACTGATTCCTGGAATTTAGGAAAGTATCCATCCATCTATTATCTATCTAAAAAGCATGCGACAGAGCAAAACTAATTTTTGGAAGACTGTAATGTTAAATTCTTCTTTTCTTAGGAAACCATGCAGCAGCCAGGAGATAGTTTTATTTGTCAGGCAACCAAATTTTATCTCAGAGAAAGTTTGGAGACAGCTTGAGCCTTGGAATTCACTCGTGGGTTATTTTTTCAGCTCACCCTCCCCGGGTCAACACCTGAAGCCACGGGAGATCATACTTTACAAGAGGCCCAGCTTTTTGGGGGGGAATTCAGTCACTGTCCTCAGTTGTCTTTAAAATTTCTGTTTTTACACGAACTTCAAACTCACAATTTAACTCCATTTTAACTTATTTCCATCTAAAAAGAAATCCAACATGTACATATCTATTTTAACTTGTGAAAGGTTCTAACCCTCTGGTCTGCTGTTCAACAATTGATGAATATGGCACAAAATTTGACTTTTGCAGGTATGTAAAAGTTTCCGGTTGTGTGTGGCTGCTATTATCTTTGTCCCTCTGGACATCAGCTGCAGGAGACTAACTTGATATACATGCATTGTTTGTGTAATTATTCGGATATTAATTATTCTTGATATTAAATCTGAAACAGTTAACAACTAGGACTTTTGAAAAGCAGAGATTAGCTGAACCTTTCACTACTCTCTCCACACACTGAATGTGTCATGTTTAATTTGTTCAGTTAGCTTGTTGATCAGTTAAGTTTGTTTGGAGTTTAATCACTAACTTAATTGTGTTTTCTGCCCAGATAGTTTTCCTACCTCAAACACAGTTCCCTCTGTCTTTTACCTGACTCATACATTTTGTTTGAATTTCATGTCAAACTTCTTTGAAGTGGTGTAAGACTGAAATAACTGATGTGATTCCGTGCACATCAGTTCTGGTTTTATTCAAAAGCATGTATTACCAGTCACCACAGGAATAATCTTTATCTATATATATGTTGTTACGACACTATGGTGTTTTATCAAGTAAAATTAGCTGATCATTTAGAATGCGTCAGAAAATTTGCGTTGTTATCCAACCTTTGTTCATACTGTCAGCCAAGGTGATTTCAACGGGGTTTCTGTTGTTCACCGTTAAAGTCAAACATTTCATATGAACTATTTCAAGTCAGTTAACTCAAACTACAAAATATGTCTGCATAAAATGTAAATATATCATAATAACACAACAAAAATTCCCCCAAAACTGAATGCGTCTTACCTCTGCCAGAATTCAGCCCTGTTTACTATTCACTGAACTTCAGCAACCTTTGAACTTTTAGGGGGAAGTCATCTGTAGTGCTTCACTCAGGGAACTTAAAAGCTGCTTTCCAGGCCTGAGCTGGTCACATGCACCCGTGCAGCAGACTTCAGAGCAGACTTTTTCCATTTGCAGTTGGCACTCCTGCTTCCTTGTTTTGCCTGTTCCTCATTCTCGTGGCCCTCCTCTTTCTCTCCTGGCGGCTCGAATTTCAAGCAGTTGAACATTTTCTTCAGTTATGAAACGCCTCTGTTATTTAGCACCGCACCAGCAGGAGCTGCTCTCAGTGCTCTGAGGCGCCCGGTGCAACTCAGCCGAGGCGCTTATTTGCATGAACATTTCGGAGAGTTATTTTTGGGTGGCTGAACTTGATAAAAAATTCACTTGTCGGTCAGTCAACGTGTCTGGCTGAAGTACTGCCCTGTCATTGAATTTTTGTTTTGCTCAGCATTGAAGTTCTTCTTGTTCCATTTTTACACGCCAAGTGACTTTTGCTCTTCCCAACCCACTTGGACCTCAAAATATAAGAAGTGTCTGATATAAGAACTCAATTAAAACAGCTCAGATCTCTACAGCTGAAGTCATTTTATGAAAGGATTCTATAGTGCAGAAAAATGCAAGCAAGGTTAATTACCTCATTGGTTTGATATGTTTCTGCCCCTTACAGCCCTCAACTCTCTGCTGTTTCTCTTTGGAGGGAGAGGTCCTGCCTCTATTTAGACATGTAATCCTATTGGGGACTTGATCATAAGCTGCTCTCTCTCTCACTCCCACAGTTTCTCTTATCCTCTCCTTCTCTTTACCCATTCAATTCAAGAGATTTCATTTCTGTTTAGTCAAACCCAAACAGCTGCTCTGGCATGAGTGCCATTAGAGCAGTGTTTCCAAAGTGAGTAACAACGAAGAGCAAACGAGAGCTGAGTTCTATTCCCAATTCTGCCTTGAACAATTCCATGTTTTTTTTAAGATAGATATTTCATCAGCTTACTTGGCTAATTCTGACATGATATATGTCTTTAGTGTGTTATGGTGGCAGATGTTCCAATTCGATGGCACTTTGAACTTTTTCCACTTTTATTTGTACAGCAAGAAAGCACAACAACGTCTCTTGACAAACTTAGCCAAACGAAGTCAAGATAAATCATCCAGTCAAACAACATGAATGTTTGTTTTTCATTTATTTTTAGATGGTTACATTCCGCTGGACAGAAGCATGTCCAGGGCATGAGATAAGCAGTAAAAAAAAAACCCTCGAGAGCAGTTTTAGATTTAGGTGAATTTACACAAGTCTTATGATCCCATGAAGTTTTTGCTCATCATGCCAATAAAATGACATAGAACCAATCCTATTACTGACACAAATGCAACATATTTTGAAGATTATTTCTCTCCATAGTCTGATATAAACTCCATTTAACTTTTATTTGACAGACACTTTATGCACAGGTCACCCACACATGCGACTAAATGGCACACCAGTCTGCCCTGCTGTGACCTCCTTTTGATGAAATGAAGAATGAATTATTTAAATGGGGAGGGGGCTTTTTTTTTCTACAGCTACTAATCCATAGAACTTAACAGATACTGACCTTTTTAATATGGAATTTAGGGCGTATTTGAAAGGTGACATTTGATAGAGGGAGTGATCCAAAAGAACCTCCGGATAATGAGGTCACGCTGCGAGGAACCCAACTTTTGAACCTTCCTGTCCTCCATTTTTTTGGCGGGCAAAGTTGCTGTGCTTTGACCGACAGCTTCATTTTGAAATATGAAAAAAAAATGAAAGTGTGTTCAGGAGAAGGGGAGCGTGGCTGTGAAACCCAGAGCTGAGAGGATAGAATTGGGAGCTGAGACGGGTCTCACAGAACAATGGAGCTCATAAAGATCAGCTCAGCAGGTGCTCTTTAAACCCCTCACTGGTTGTATTTAGCAGGAAACAAACACATTAATCTGTCAGGCCAACGCCTGCACGATTACAGGCGGGCTATGGCACATTATACATGGAATTATTTATTAATATCTTTTGTGTCGACATTACTGCCGGTAAAGGAACGTCTTTTTTAATGAGAAGTGAAAAATGCACTTTGTGGTCGTGGGCTATCATGTGACAACTAATTCAAAGAGACAGACTTGTAATAGTCTCCAAGGCTCTACCCAGACCTGCACTCTCTTTCATTCTGTTTTTCTGTTTTCCTCATGGTCATTGTATGTTTCTCATTCAATACGTCTCTCAGGTTTGGGGTGATTTGGCTTTATTTTGTAATCTTACAAATCATTAGTTTGTATTTGTAATGAGTTGTTTTAAATACTCTTCATTTGATATAACATAAGAGAAGGTGTAGGGCATTTTTTAATGACTGGTAACAAAGTTGATATGATTCATCCACTGATTCATTTCCTGTTGTACCATGTTGCAATACATTTCACTCCGTGATCACCTCTTCTAATTTTCATCAACAAAATCTATCTTGTTGCCTGTCTTTGAGCTAACTATATATTTTTCTTTTACATCTTTCTCTTGTCTTATCAGCCCCTTTGAAGCTGACTCTTGTCCCATGTCTTTTTTTGTGGTAGTTTGTATTTCCACAATTCAATTCAAACCAAGTGAAGGTATCCCCTTTCACTTGGTTAACTTTGTTAAATGATCTCCCTCTGTAGGTATGTATGACTATTGTAAATCTGAAACTCATATGTACACGTTTCTGGTTGTGTTTGACTGCTATTGTCTTTCTATATCTGGCCACCTTTTCTCTGCATTACAATTTGGGTTTTATTCAACATCATGGGTTACCAGTCACCACAGGATCAATCCAAATGGGTTTTTTTATCAGGAAACAATTGCTCATAATTTATGAGCAATTGCAATAAAGTCTGCCTTCTTGTCCAACAACTTCTAAGACATTTATCAGACAATATATTTTACATTCTCATATCCAAAAGGAACTTTACAACGATTTATGCTTGCAAAAATATTAATAAAACCAAAATATTTCAACATTGTTTAGATGGCAGAGCTATTAAGGATTTGCTGTATCACACCCAGGCAGATCTCTAAACCTTCAAACATATATAAGCATGCAACAACCTTTCTATCCCTCTGGAATCAGAGTTTTGATTCAAAGAGAAACACTGGGAATACACATGCTTGTGGATCACAATTGAATCTCATGTTCAACAGCATTGCTTTTTTTATGAATTATTACGAACAGATTCCGATATTAGGCTACGATGGTTTTGTTTTGTTTTTCTTGAGAGAGGAACATCCACTCATTGAAAAAAAAGCCTCTGACTGACATCAGGACCACTTTCTCTCTCTCATCCAGTCACCTTAACATCCTGTTACGCGTCGAAGTGTCGGCAGTGCACTGATGCGCATCACTTGGAGCGCACTTTGGGAATGGCATCCGAGCGGAATGGATCCAGCACGGGCAGAATTCTGGCCAACCAGTTCGCGCAGCCCGCGTGGCGCATCGCGCTCTGGTCGGTGGCGTACATCATGGTGCTGGCAGTGGCGGTTTTTGGCAACTTGATCGTGATTTGGATTATTCTTGCGCACAAACGGATGAGAACCGTCACCAACTATTTCCTGCTGAATCTAGCTTTCTCTGACGTTTCGATGGCTGCGTTCAACACCCTCATCAACTTCATTTACGCGGCTCACGGGGACTGGTACTTTGGAGAGGTCTACTGCAAGTTCCACAACTTCTTCCCGGTCACTGCAGTGTTTTCAAGCATCTACTCTATGGCGGCGATAGCCATAGACAGGTATGACCACAAGGTCCTTAAATTGTCATGAATTTGTAAGTAGTTCAGAGGCATGTGCAGAACTCAGACAGGAGACAACCATTCTAATGTTATCTCTGCAACAAGTCAAATAAAGCATGACGCTTTCAAATGAGACTGTTTAGAATGAAAAACAGCAAATAAATGAATAAATAAATATTTAACACCTGAATGCATCATGGCTCATAACCTTAAGTCTTTTTAGCATTCTAATTTCAAAAGGTTTCGTTTTCTTAAACCTTTTTCATCATATGTTTAAGACAGACAAAAGAAAAGTATACCCACAGTGTTACTCCCTGTTTAACCCCCATGGATTAACTATTTCAAACTTGACTTTTCTATGTGCTTTTTTTCTATGCGTACATGTTTGTGTTGTGATGTTGCTCCTGTAGGTATATGGCAATCATTCATCCTCTCAAGCCTCGTCTGTCAGCCCGAGCCACCATCGGAGTTATATTGTTCATCTGGAGCCTCGCAGTTATTCTGGCCTTCCCCCTTTGCTACTTCTCCACCACACGGACACTACCAGGCAGGACCTTTTGTTATGTGGCCTGGCCCCGCATGGCTGATGACCCCTTCATGTGAGAGCAGATTTGCAGCAGCCAACTTATATCAGCCCATGACAATCCACGCAACCTGCCGATGTTTTCGTTTGCCTCGTCTTTTAAAGGCCCGCTGTGTTGTGTGTCTTTGTCCATGCAGGTATCACATCATAGTAACAGTCCTGGTGTATCTGCTGCCGTTGGTGGTGATGGCCATTACTTACACCATTGTTGGAGTGTCGCTGTGGGGAAGCGAGATCCCTGGAGACTCATCTGACAACTATCATGGACAGCTCCGTGCTAAAAGGAAGGTAGCTACCATAAGATTTATTGCACTTACATAGTGATTTTTGAGTTGTTATAGTCTCTGTTTCATTGGACAGAAACAGGCAGAATTTAAACTTATTGGTAATCTTTACTTTGGATGAGTCTAAACTTTTAGATTTATTTGTAGTAACAAAGAAGCAGTGATTTAAACAGTTCCCAACTGCTATACTCCTCCTTTATTAAAATAAAATGCTCCAATCAATCAGCACCAGACTACTGTTGCAGCACTTCATTCTTTTAATACTGAAACCAAAGCTTTCAAATAATCTGTGAATGTCGTCCGTGTGTCCCAAAGTCGATGGCATATCATGAGATGATCATGGTAGGTCAGTGCATTTCCTACTGATAACCTCATAAAGCGCAAATGTGGCAGCCCTTGGTCACGTGCTTTCGTAAACCTTTGCAAGCATATACTTTGTAAACACTGGATTAAATGTGGTTTGGCATCATCAGCTGGAACGCACAGTGTGCTTTGCAACAGTTTCTCTGTGTGCTGAACGGGGATTAGAGAAATCACAGCTGGGATGACGAGCATCGAGGACTGCTCTGGGATTAACTCCTTGGAACGCGGCTCATTGATAAACACCACAATTACTGCAGGGTAACAAGTCGGATTATTCAGATGACAGATAAGAGATAGTGCAAGGGTCAGGCACTTTAAGGGTTCAATGATAAAGAGTGTTTTGTATTAAAGAAAACTGAAATTTGAAATGATTCCTCGATCAATAGACCCAGTTACAGTGATCCAAATTAAAAAGTAATTTATTTCAAATAAAACAAAACAAAAACAACAGTAAATGGACCTAATTTACTCTCCAATGGAACTTCACGCACGCGCAAATGTCCCACCACAGTGGATATTGGAGATTATTGCAAGTCGTTTAACGGAATCCAATCATTTTTATGGATGTCAAATACAGTGTAACATAATGTAAAATACCATCCATGATAGAGAAAAGTGAACCTCTGTCTTTCAGGTGAGCGTTTGCTAACGGTCTGCTGCTTTTAGACGGATGCAGCAGCACACTGTCTGCAACACCTTGATGAGTTTTGTCATGTTCTGCCCCACATGGGTCCTGCTGGGTCTGGTGCGTCATCAATGACCTTTCCCTATTTTTATACATCAGCCACTGTGGATGCGTTGAATGGCAATTGTGATGACGATCAAGGGAAATTTTCAACAGACCGGCTGAATCATGGGCAGACTGACTTTTAGGAGTTACAGCAATTTCAAACATCCCATCGCGTAATGGCAACTGGACAAACGTTTCAACACTTGAATTCGATGTAATGGGATTTTTTTGTTGTGCAAATTTGCTTAAAGATGTGTATTCTTTATTATATTATATTATATTATATCATATTATAAAGTTGTCCTGTCTCAATAAGAAAAAAGAGAGAAGTCTCAGTTTTTTCAAAACGTGGCAACCTCTGTACAGCACAATTACGCAATTTCAGAAATATTTGCTGTCAGCCTGTAAAAGTTTTCCTTTTCCTGCCTGCCAACAGAATTCAAGTTGCCTGTCAATGTGCTCAAACATGCATATGTGATGTCTCATACAACTGTTTTCTGTTTTAAAAAAGAAATCCATCATAAAACAGTATTTATTCATCCCTCTCTATGTTTAATTTAAATATATGTATTTTTAGAGGTAATGTTTCAGTCTATTTTACATTTTGTTTCTTCATCAAGAATATCTGAATATGGTAAAATCCTGCGCCATCGAGGTGCCAGTGGCCCTTATGGTGACGGGGGGTCATGGGGGTTTGACCATCCAGTTTACATGTGTTTTGTGGAATTAAAAAAGGCTTGCAACCATGTTCGCAGAGGGATTTTGTGGCAGCCAGAGTAGGGTTGAGGGCTGCCAGAATTGCTGTTTTGTGATTATTTTTTGTGTTCTCAACCAGCAAAAGCTTGAATGCTCTCTCTGGGTCACAGAAGCAGTGAGGAAAATGACAGAATTCACAAATAATTGTCAGTTGGGGCAAGAGATGGACCTGCAAACACGCTCTGTCAGCAGTGACAGTGCTGCGGTCTACTGTAGTGAAGTGTGTGATGTAACTGAGTCGGAAAGTGAAACTTTTAAAACACACAGATCCATCTTTGCTCCAACCTCCACTTATTGTTATGAAATCTTAGTAGTTACAGAATGAATGAGATTGCTGATGCGTGTGGTTAAAATGGGTTTCCGCTCGGAACATTTGCTGGATGGGAGGAAATGAATTGACAGTAGAGCTTCTGCAACTGTGCATTGAAAAGAGTCAGTTGACATGGTTCAGCCATCTGGTTGTAATGCTTCCTGGGCCTGTCTAACTGGGATAAGGGCCTGGGAACGCTGTGGTATTCCCCGGGAGGAGCTGGAGCGTGCCGAGTTCCTCTAGTGAACCTTTTGACTTGGTGACCTCAGATAAGTGGAAAAGAATAAATGGATAGAGGAGTGTATTATTGGAACATTTAAGTTTCCCAGTAAGACAGGACATGGCAAAAGTAATGGCATGCATGATAATGCAATAATATTGACTTTTATTAGGTATATTTTTACCTTTCAATCTGTTAGAAAAAATCACCTTAAAAAAATCTAACTGTTTTCACATTTTCTCTTTCCTCCTGTAGGTGGTGAAGATGATGATCATTGTGGTGGTGACCTTTGCCCTCTGCTGGCTGCCGTACCATGTCTATTTCCTTGTGACTGGTCTTAACAAGCATTTGAGCAGGTGGAAGTACATCCAGCAGGTGTACCTGTCCGTGATGTGGCTGGCCATGAGCTCCACCATGTACAATCCCATCATCTACTGCTGCCTCAACGGCAGGTCAGAACTGCCTCACTCAAACACACACGCAAACATTGACATCAACAGCCCTGTGACGTGTCGGGGGTCTTTGTGGCTGCAGGTTCCGGGCTGGTTTCAAGCAGGTGTTCCGCTGGTGTCCCTTCATCCGCATGTCGAGCTACGACATGCTGGAGCTCCAGAACGCCAGACTCCGACCCTGTCGCCAGAGCAGCATGTGCACCCTCTCCAGAGTTGAAACCAGCATCCTGAGCAAAAATAAGAGTGTTTGCTCTCGCGGAAATGCGTCAAAAGCCGAACCTGAGCAGAATCATACGGAAAGTTAGATTCCTGTGAGCAAAATGCGTTTAACTGCTCAGAAGGTCTGTGTAGGTTGTTCTTTGCTGTTGCAGACTGTTCAGAGTGCTCTTTATTTTAAGCTGAGTTGTGTCAGGAAGAATGTGAAGTTTGATCCTGACTGCATGTAGTTTTATCTGTTAAGGAGGAATTTGATATTAAATACACACAGTCAGTAATTAAAGTTCAAGTCTGGTATTGAAGAATTCATAAATGCGACTTATGTAAGATTACATGCACCTTTTTCTCTCCACCAGCGGATCAGCACTTGCAGGTGAGTTCATGATGGCTTCAAGGAGAGAAAAAGGATGCCTAACTTAGCACTACACAAGTTTAAATAGTGTATGAGTTAACTAAGAAGATTGTACAGTTGGAGAGAAGTTTCACGCCGGGGCGTACTCCTCCCTTACATTGTGAGATCATGTGGATGTTCTTCAGTGGGACAGGTCCAGTTCTGCTTTTGTCTCCTAGCAATAGAGCTATGTGTTAGGGTGTTTGTTCACACTCTAATGTGTGAGGTAAACAATGTGTCACTAGGCTGGTGTTTCTTCATTGCAAGGGTAATCAGCAAAATGATGTGAATGTTTATAATGTGTACTTTCCTGATACTGACCATGTTCTGGGGCGGGTGGGCACGGGAGGAATCTTGAGTGGGATTAGCAGAGAAGTGAAAGGACCGCAGTAAAGTCAGACAAAAGACACAAAAGCAACTCAGCCCCTCCATATAAGAGGCAAAATGCAGTTTGTGAATATTTGTCATGTAGTAAAAGGTCAAATGTGATGATGTACTCACAAAGCCATGAGGCGCATCCAAAAGCAAGATTGTTTGATTCACCAAGTAAGCTGCAAAACATTACAGTTCAGCTTTGTAGTGTAATTTTTTTTTATTTCACACGCCTTTAAACTTTCTGTCATAAGTTCAGATTAGTTCATGTAAATAATCAATAATAATGTACGTTAGACAACACTACATTGATGTTTCTCAGACTATATTGTACACCTTTCAAGGAAATGTGAAAGCCATAGGCGTATTGGAGAAGGATTTTCAGAGGATTAACACTGTCCTTGATGGATATATCCAAATTGCATCCAAAAACAATTTACGAAAACACAGAAGTGATGATGATGTTTCTGGTCTCAATCCAATTGTAAGCTTACTTTGTGTTTTCTTAAAGCAAAGCATTGATGGTTAACATTCTATATCTGGCAACATCAAAAACAGGAACCGCTTAGAGCTCATTTGCAAGGCATTAACTGGAGATATTTCCAGCAAGATAAACAATCCGATTCAAGTTCCACTGTTCAAAGCGGCTGGAGCAACTTCAGAAATGACAGCACTAATGTGATTTAACTTCAGAAATGACAGCACTAATGGGATTGATGCAGGCATCTATTTTTCTGGTTTAATGTGATATTGGAAAATTTCCAAGTTATGATACATTATCAAATATGTTTAATGTTCAATTAATAAAACTTTCTTTATCAATTTCTTTAATATTTAATATGTATTGATTTAAGTCCTGGAACTGTATAAGATATAACATTTCTGATGTACTTTAAAATTAATGCATTCAATCAATCATAATGATAAGAATAAAATTAGATTAAGAACAAAATAAGAATAAGAGTAATGATTATAACTAAGAAAAAGAAGGGGTGTGGGAGGTGAAGTTAGTGATTAGTTTGTTATGTGTGGACAGACTCTCTGAAAAGCAAAGTTTTCAGGATCTTCTCTAAGGTAGAGAGAATGACCCCTGGTCAGGTAACATTTTTTAGGTCACTCCACCAACAGGGGACCGTGGATAAGAATAGACTAAAGTGCTGTGGTTGTGGTGGTGGCAGAAAAGGAGACCAGGGAGTAACTATAGATGTATAGACGGATGGACAGATGGATGAATGGGTAGATAGAGAGGTAGATAGATAGATAACTGCTCTTATAAAATGTGACTGGATGTTATCACATACCATATATATTTTTAATGTTCCTTATTTTTGATTTAATGAATAATTTATATGAACCGGAGAGTGTTAGAGTGCAGTAGCACTTCAAAAGGTTTCTGACTGCATTGATAACATTTAACATATTTTAGCAACACTGATGTATAGATTAAATGAGATTTCTGATGTAATTCTTTGTTGGAGAACTTGTGCCATTATATATTTCACTATCCTCTCTGTTTTACTATGTCTGAGCATTTGCTCCTAACCTCCAGGTGTTGTAATATTTCACATGGAAAATCAATGGGAAACAGACTTGATAAATGTTGTTCATATATTATATTATTTCTTAATATAAATTGATTTTCCATATTTTGCTTTGTTAGACTTTACTCCAGTGATGTGAAATGATAAAAACTGACTGTGCTTAATACCCTGAAAAATGTGACCTGTGTGCATCTCTATTTCTTTGACAATTTTCGAGAGTCACTTTCCTTAGGACAAAAAACATTACAGTTTAATGTAGCTTTATTGTTTATTACCAGACGTACTGCATCACATCAACATCTTACAAACTCAGAAAAGAGGTTTACACATTGTGATGGAAATTTACATATTCATACAAGCTGGATATAACCTTGTCAGTATGAACTTTGCTCTGAAAGAGCAACAGAATGTAACTTTAGAGTGAGTGGTTACGCCCAGCAAAGTATAAATGACTGGGTTTTTACTGAGCTTGGGGCTCTTTCCCTGACTAAGTTGAGTGAACAAAATCTTCAAAGCGCTATTTGTTCCTTTGAATAAAACTACACTAAGATGAAATTTATGTTCGCCAATGATTGAAACAAGTTCTTACAAATGTGACCATAACAGCATTTATAAGCTTTTGGAATCCACAAACCCAAGATAACTTCATTGTCACTCATTGTCTTTTTTGGCAGCAAGTGGAATGATTGTTGAGTTGATTAAACTTGATGGAACAAGTTCAATAACCTCAAGCTGACACAGAAATTCCTCATACATTCATAGAATTTTCCACATTAGTTTACACAATAGTCTTACATGAAGCAACTTACAATAATATTTAATACAAACCACCTACATCTCTTTTTGTCAGGAGAATATATATCCTGTAACCGGTCTTGTAGAAAGCTCAAAACTCAAAATAAACAGTGAAGAAGCAGTCATTTTTTGTATTATTACTTGCCAGCTCATCCAAAAAGGCAAGATCAGCCAAAACGTATTTTTTGCCACCTTTTACTAATCTGTATTATCTTGTTCAAGTCTTGTAAAATGCAATGCTTACATATTGCTGCTGAGCCGAATACATAAAGTGGTCAAGTAGCTTAAAGAACAAATATTTCTTCCTTTTTTGAGGACTGGAGTGGTCACTCTCGTCAAAGAGTCAAAGTAAACAGAGATAAGACAGCCAGCAGGAGGAAAGGGGCCTGGGTGGAGACGGGAGCTGCTGACCTGTGGAAGTAGAACAAAAAGGAACAATTTGACCTCACTGCAGTTTTCCATCATTACAATTGAAATGTTTTTTTTTCCTTAAGTTTGTTTTTTAAACCAGTATCAGAATATGTTGCAAACTTCTGATAATCAACAAACAAGTTTGCTGATGTTGTCTGCTATATGAGAAAAATCAGGTCATGAATAAAGAGTGAATTCATAGGGATTTATGTCTTTAAACACCAATAAAATGTCAGTTTAACAAAAAAGATCAAACTAAATATCACTTCTTATTTTTAAGTAAAATCCTCTAAGTGGATCAAATTATTTAAATAATGCATTGTCTTAAGTATCATTAAGAATATAACAATGTAAATTTACATTGTTTGGTAAAAGATTTCAACTGTATTAGCCAAGGAAAAGAATATACAGCCAAAGGGCATAACCTTCCCACACCAAATGCCTTCAGGCTTCTATTAGAAGTAAGTAAGGTTTACTTTCTCAACCAGCTTTTTCTCCTTAAATAATTCTGGAAACCGGTTTCCAAATGTTTAGATTGGTTTATTTTAAGATTGTTGTTTAATCTATATGCAGATTGGCTGTTTAGCCATTTATATTTTAAAAACGTTTAATAGAAAATAATGATCAGGTTGGATGGTGTTTTATACATTACATACATACATCAAGCATGTGTATTTATAGAAAGTTGTTGTAAAGAAACTATACGTCACTTTACAGTTCCAAGCTCTTTTTCATAAAAACCTGAAAAGATTATTGATTTGAAGTTTAAGAAGCTCATTAAAAAAAGAAAACTAGAGGAATTGAGCAAAACATATGAATTATTTCAAGAAAGTGTGGCTCTTACCTTGGAAACATGAAACAGTTGTGTGTACCGTTGAGAGCTGAATGCTTTAGAACAATATTGGTGTAATACCCAGTTTCGTCAGACTTCTGCTTTATTTCCTCCACAGTGAAAACTTCAGCGGGCGAGATGAGTCCTCCACTGTACTTGTGGCAAATGTAGTCATCCAGGTTGACAAAGGAGCATGAGGTTATGCTTAAGAGAGTTTCACCGTCCAGATCGGGAAGGTCTTCGCGGCTTAAATGGACCTTGGCAAAACCTGAAAATCTGACTTTTGAGCCAACTTTTGGGCTTTCGTTTTCAGAAATAAAATACACAGGTTTGCACTCCTTGGTTTTTAGCTGCTTCATAGAATCCATGAGCAGGAAATGAAGGGACTTGTAATGAAAGTCACGCTCATAGGTAGTAATGTTAACCCCCATAGTGCCCACTGCATTGTTCAGATTTTGCAGAAACATAACGTCCCCAAAGTGAAAGACAGAAAGTGCATAGATAAGATTTTTATCTACTTTACTGGTCTGTGATGGACAGTTGGTGTTTGCCTTCCATGCTTTCTGGAGTCCCTCACTTCTTTTAAGCTCTTGCTCTAGCAAGTCAGAGTGTATAAACTTCTTCATGGCTTCTTCTCCGCATCCTTCATAAATGTCATCTATAACATCTGATTCAGTCTCCTCCACGAGGGCTATTTGTCCCACAGTCTCCTGCCACACAATGGAAAATAATTAATATATTTCAAGGGAAATAATCATTTTTCACAATCTGATCTTATTTTGAACAGCTCAGTTATGAGAAATGATACTCACTCTGTAGGTGTTGCTGCATACAGCGATGAAAATGATGGCAGAAAGCGGCAGTTTTCTACTGTTAAACATTTTTCAGGGTTCTGAAAAGGACAGTTCTACCAAGAGGAAAATGTCCAAATCCAGTCCAGATAATTTAGTGACTTAGTTTGTGCTGAAACAAATAGGCAAAATTAGTGATGAATAATCTGTTCCCAGTCCTTAGAATACTGCGCTCCACTGCAGAAGTGAAGGACTGAAAGGCACACACCCCAAGTTGAAGACAAATCAGGTCTACCCACAGACTGGAAGGGAGGGATGTTCCTCTGCAGAACTGTTTAGGGAAGTGAGACTACTTATCTGCAGCAGCTTTCTTTTTCCTGCGGAAGGAAATAAGACTACACCTCTGGGATACCCTGTCGTGTTTGCCCTGCTTTAGCTACTGAGATTATGTGAAACTTCAATGTAACAATCTTGTATTCCCTTTTTTCCTTTTTCCTTCCTCTTCCATCCCTTTTTTCTTTCTTGCGTGTTCTTTAGTCCTGACTTTGCAACTTATGCCAAAGCTGTGTTAAATTCACAACTTCTCCCAATAGTACAGGGTTGTGATGCCAGCTCATTTCAAATCATGAGAGGAAGGGTCAGTTAATGAGAAGGAAAAAACATTTCTGAACAATGAAGTCCTGAATAATTTTCCTTTTCAGAATCACATGCACAAACTTGTCAGTTGAATTCCTTCCGTGGAATGCAACAATGCAAACTCTCACTATATGAAAGGTGGAGCACACAATCCTCAAGGCCACATTGATGTGAAAAATACAAAGAACTGTAAAATAAAACCTCACATAAGCTAAATTTAAAGTCAGACAATGACTTTAGTCAGTTTTGGGACAGAAGGAAGAAGAAGAAAATCACCACTCGAACTGACAGAGCTCCCAGAGGAACTCATTCAGAAAGAGCCCTGATTTGTGGGAGTGATGTACAGTTTTCTTCTCGGGCTGTAGAAAATCTGGACATAATGTGGCTGAGTCTTACTGGCAAATTACGTCTGGCATGCACAGGCCAGTTCTTTATTCATACTGATTCTACTGGATTAAACATGTGTGTAAACTGTCTTTAAAGATGTGTAATTAATGCAAAAAAATAAGGACAGACCTGTGACTACAGCCAGAGAGAATTTTATGAGTTTGGTGCAAGTGTAAATCTAAATAGAACAAACTAATCAATAAGTTATGTGAACAAAGTAGAAAAAATACAGCTCTAATGTGAGCAAACCAAGCCAAAGCCAATTTTTAAAATGCTATTTTAAAAAAGAACGGCGCTGAGAGTTGAGGTAGGATTCCCTTCAGGCCACAGTGCTAACCGCCACATTGTCCTGCACCAAAAGATCAAAACAAAATGCACCCTAAAAGTTTTTTTTCTGATTTTATTGCACCTATGTCGAGTGTTCTCTAGTTGTTGTTGTTGTGTTTTTGTTTAAGTAAACCTTTATTTTGAAAGAAAGTTACCGGAAGTACATATTAGGGTGACACAACAATCTCATAAAGTTTAGTTCAGAGCTTCAACTTCAAACGACCACATATGCCATATTGAGCATGTCTATTTTAAAATAGAGGGCAGCTGGCCTGTTGGGATTGTTTGCATGTCAGTGTGCAGGCTGAAAGAGCCAAAAGCCTCAGTTGTTTGCGGAGAAATACGCATTTGAAATTTTTTTGTTCAGACCAGAAATGACGTGAAGCCCACTTCAAAGCGCGCCAAAAAGAAAACACCACCGTTTTCTCCGCTGTCAGTTTATCCGACCGTGGACGTTTCTACATGAACACAAAGGTAACACGACGAGAGATATTAAGCAATTGGCTGCATTATCTGCCGTTTGCAAAGTTAACGATAATTACGCTGCTGCTCTGTCTATTTACATCCCCACACGGAGACGTTCAGTAACCCGTGTGGAGGTTACGTTTACGCATTTAGCTAACGCTTTTGTCCAAAGCGACTCACAGTGCAAATGGGGTTAAAAAAATGCTTTTCGAAAGGTACTAGTTTAAGTTAAATGCCTCTTTTTGAGCTTGTGATAAAATCAGTAAATAAAGAAGAGCAGGGCCCCCGCTCTGTATGAAGCTGCAAGATGTCCAAAGCAACTGTTTACGTCAGTGATTGAACAGGTCACGTGTTTAGTGACATTGCCATGGAAACTATTCGACTCTCAATTTCGGTGGAATGTAAAACAAGTCATATTAAATAAGCTCTACTTGACTGGTCTCCAGAGTTAAACAAAACTTCTGAGAGTTGAAATACAACTGTGCGTGCAACAATTGTTTACAAAAAAATGATTTAACTATTTATATATATGATAGTAGATGTATGTACTATTTCGACTTCATTTCCATCAGGTGTTGTCAATATATGGTATTAAGGATTTCTAATCACAAGAAAATCCGTAAACAGTCATTTTTTGCAAAATTTTAGCCTAAAAATTATACCACATTTTTTTAAAAATTGTATTGTTCTTATGGAAAGTTAAGTTTTGTGTGTCTGTAAACAAAAGTTAATGTAACTTACTATAATATTCTTTCTTAAAGGTAAAGGGTGACATAAAGTCCATCTACGCTCAGTGAATATTTCCCAAGATAAGGGCTTGAAGATGAGCAAATGGGGTGACCGGTTGAAGAAGGTGGAGCAGCTTGCTCAGTCCTTCCAGCTGAATCCCCTGACGGCAGCCTACAAACCTCGCTTGTGGCCTTGCCAGCCTTCCTCCGTGTGGAGGCTCTTCCCTCGTCAAAGCATGGCCATCGGCTTTGCTCAGAGCTGCAAAGAGGTACGAGAGGCGCTCCTTCATTGATTTTATGTCCTGCGCAGTAAAGCCGAGAAAGTGCTCACATATCTGTGCTTTACTTATTCATAGGCTGTTCATGTTTTTGCACTGGAAAAAGAAAAGGCCCTAGAGGGTCAACGGATTTACCTGGTTACCAGTTACAGTGAGCTCTGGCATTACTACAGGTAAATACTGCTGGATCCTCTCCGTGTGGTTTAGGAAACCACATAATAACCTGAGCATCAGTACTGTGGCTGGAGCTCTTGACTTTTTTTTCTCCTTCTTTTCTCCCAGGACGTACACTCAGTCTTTGATGCACTGCTATGAAGTGATTCCAGAGAGTGCTGTCTGCAAACTTTACTTTGACTTGGAGTTCCACAAACCTTCAAACAAAGATTCTGAGGGCAAAACTATGGTGTCTATGCTCATCCAGGTAAGGATTATTGTGCTGATTCGAGTAACAGCCTATGCCATGTACCATCAGAGTGGAGAATGTGCCGTTAATTTACTGGTCTGTGTGTTGTCCAGTACGTCTGTGATAGATTATTGGAAGTGTATGGGATTGAGTGTTCTGCCAGAAATGTCCTCAACCTAGACTCCAGCACAGAGGAGAAATTCAGCCGGCATCTAATCTTCAGCCTCCAAAATGCTGCCTTCAAAGACAACATTCATGTCGGTATGTTCTGCCCTATGTGAGAGCAATGCTTTTTCTATTTTACTTGGCGATCAAAGAGGATTTTTTTTTCTCCTTGTCCAAGGGAGATTCATCCATGCAATTCTTCAGCCCATCCTGAACAGAGTCAAAAGTGGTGGCCATGTGGATAAAGGAATGAATTCAGAAACCGAAACCAATGAAACTGGGTCAGTTGTGAAAGCAGATGTTGTTACTACCTTTCCATCATCAGCCACCACTTTGCATTTTTTGTCAAAATGATTTGTTGAACGTAGAACACACGTTGACCCTCTGAGCGGTCCATCAGCGGCAGCTGGGATGGCCGAGTGTCCACCGATAAAGAAGCGAAAGCATGAGGAGAGGGACCTCAGCTTCCTCCTGGTGAAAAGCAAGGATGGCCGAGACTCTCTTTTTGTTGATCTTGGTAAGAGAAGGCTGAGTTCTCTAGATTAGATAACCCAAATAGAGAAATCAGCCCCTACACACTTTCTGTTTTTACATCCAATTCTGTCTCCAATCAAATAGACATAATCAGATATATAAACTCTCAGCGATGCATTAAAAATTTAAATGCATCAATATATAAGGATGTATAATAGATTTCATGCGGTGTGATAAGACTTTAACCACAGCAGCAAATCCCTCATAACCACATGAACTGGGCATGATCTGATCTTTTTCTCTGATGATTTCCTTCACATTGGTGTCATCATGTGGTCAGATGGTGCAGAGATCAGTTTCTGTTTTGACATTTGTGATCAGATTCAAGTTCTTTGACTCCTTATTTGGTTTCTAGCTTTGAAGTTGATTAAAAAAAATGTTGAAACCGGATTTTATTTATTTATTCCATAGCACCTTTGCTTATGACGGATTTATTGAATGTGTTGTCATTGTTTTTCATTCTAATTTTCTAGTCAGCTATGTTTAAGAGCTTTTTGTTAATGTATATACCTGAACAGAAAGTTTTCATTTTAATGTGTCTCTAAATACAGAGTGTGCCTGTCTTTATACAGTAATTGTGTATGCTAAAGGTCATATTTTACACAAACAGGGGTGTACACAAAGAACAGAAATTTCCGGCTGTACAAGTCGTCAAAAGTGGGGAAGAACACTGCGTTCACAGTGGCAGAAGACAACCAGTTTACTCCCAAGCCTGAGAAAGGAGTCTCTTCAGAGGAATGTGTTTTCCTGGCATCATTAGTGTGTAATGTGAGGTACAATGAGCCCCTTTAATTAACTTTTTGACTTATCCGTTTTTTTAATGTTCTCTGTCAAACCACCACGTCAGTTAATATTCCTGCCTGTAACCAGTTTCACAGGTCAGAGAATCCTCACCTGGGACATCCCAGAAACAAATGAGCATAAATCCTCAGCCCCTCACTGTCAGCAGGAATCAGATTCATGTCCAGGTAACGTTTGACTAAAAGCAGCAAGTTTTCCTCAGAGCTCCTCTCGCACTCATTCATCTGTTTTCAGTCTGTTTAGCTGTGGATGTGCAGATATTTTGAATATTATCACTTGTTTTACCTTAATCATTTTAGTCTAAACTCACATTAATTGTATTTTGTTTGCCACAATTCCAACAGGCACATTTTCTGGTTGCCTATCATCCCCTCACCAAGAAGTGGACCGATTTGTATTGACTTTGGTTCAAAAGGATGGAGTTCAAGGAAGTGAGTGTTTGATTGATGCAGGACACAGTTCCATATCATCACATCTTTAGAAGGATCATTCAGATAATTAATCATCGTTGCTGTAAATGTAGTCCTCCCTTCCTCCCAATTTATATCTTGACAATATATCCTGGCTTTGTTAGCCACAGCTTCATTTAGATTATAGGTTAATTGAATGAATGAATTAGTTTTCTCAGAAACAGTATTCAGTAAACATTTCTACACAAATCAGTCAGAGGTGTATGTAACTTTAAACTTCCAGACTTTCATAACGTCCTATGAAACCAACAGGCATAAGACGATGGAACTACTTTGCCGCGGAGCAGCTTCTGGTCTACGACATCGCCAAATACCGCTGGTGTGAAAATGTGGGGAGGTTTCACAAAAGCAACAACATCATGTAACTACTGTACCTCTCATGTGGTTGTTGTTTGTGTGACCGTCAGTCTTTCTGACCAAATCTCATAATCCTCTGCAGGATTGTTGTGGATTTTAAAGAGGAAGTCTGGTATCAGAAGTGTCATGACCCTGACTGCAGGAACTTCAGGTCCTCAAGTGAGTCTGACCCCTAATCCTCTTTATTTATTTAGTTTATAGAAGTAATTCACAGATCTTTATGTGGTTAATTGTAAGGGAATCTTTTTTGTTCTTTCCAATTTAACAGGTTATCCACTGCCACAACAGATCTGTGTTAGCTACATCCTGGCACTGGTTAGTTCAGTTTCTATTTACAGCTCGACAGGCTAAACTCACCTGGAAATTCTGAGACTGAGTGTGAATTATCAAAGGGGTTTTGATGTTTGTGCGCAGCAGCAAGCGATCACACCTACTGTTCTCTCACAGGACGAAGAGGATCAGGCTTATTTGATGGATGATGCCGGTAATTTTGAACTCTGCCAGGAACCAAAACAAGCCCCTCAGAGCATGGCGTTCCCAGAGAGGAGGAGCCTGGACGAATGGGGAGATGACCAGGACTATTTAGAGAGTCTGGATGGCTTTGAACACAACACGGGGGAGATCTCAGACCAAATTCTGCTCACGTGTATGTCGGAGTTTGACTCCCAGTAGGAGATGAGGTTTGTGTTATTTTACTGTGCATCTTCAGAGATACTGCCAACATTCACTGCCATTTGATTCAGCATTTTAACTCTGATAAAAAACTATGGTCACTGTATTATGTCCTGTTTATGCCTCAAAGATTAAGCCACCTTTTAAACCTTTGTGCCTTATCTTACTCTTTCTTAAAGACCCGTGTCCAACCAAAAGAGAGCACTCAGTCATTCTTAACAAACCACAGTTGTTAAAACAAAAAACTGACTATGAATCGAAGCCAAAACTTCAGTAAGTATAGAAAGTATTTATTCATGTCTTTTGTCAAAATACAAACAGATGCTTTTCATTAAGATTGCTCATTGGCCCTTTTCATACTGTAAGAATCGTATAAACATAGCAAGACTTGTGATGCCAAGGAGCACGGTAGTAGATACGCAGAACAGCCACCATGCATTGAAAATGTTCGGAACATTACAGGCTTTTTCTTTTATGATTAAGTTGTGAAGCTGAAATGAATACTGATTCTGTGGGCCATTGGTAAAGATAAGGAATTTCTTTAGAAAAGCTGTCCAATAATTAACGAAAAAAACAATTTAACATTTTTCATCTCGGTTCAATGATTCAACAGAGATTAACACAACCTTTTTTCGCTGCCTGTGGAACTGAGATTGGGAGGACACTAAAAAGAAGTTTGCATGTAGAGTAAAGCAGCGTTTAACATTTTACATGCAGCTGCAGTTTAAAGCAATGAAACAGAAAGCAGTTAAACCACTGTTCAGTACATTTAGTGTTTAAACAGCTTCATGTAATCAGCTGTAGAGCATCAAGGCTATGTACTTTTTACGCAAATAAAACTTTGCCGCATATGAACTATTTATAGATTTGATAGTTGTGTTAAAAATCAACTTAAATAGATTACCAAATTGATAAATAGTTGATATTAGTCACTGGAAAGCATTATGCCCCCAAGAGTAGAAACAAAGTTTATTTCAGGAGCTGGAGTCTTGGACCATAAAGAGTCAGATTTTCTCAAGGTGTAGGCTATTAAGAACACATTTTGATCTGCCAGTTTCTATCAGAAAAAGTACAATTTAAGCAATATTTTTGGATATTCGAGACTTTGCTGTAGAGTAACCCAACTAAAAGGGTGAGACTTACTTTTACTTTGCCCATATTGTTTGAAGGCACTGGTCCAAAAAATTATTCAGTCTTCACCGGCAGAGCAAAATGCAGAGCATCCTCTGAGTAGTTCTAAAGCCCTCCCTGGCCACAGTTCACATTTTAATCCTGGCATAAAGGTTGTCAATCTGTTCTCTGAAGCGCTTTTGAAGCTGAGGCCTTTTGGACTTCAGGGTGGGAGTCAGCAGCCCGTTCTGGACAGTGAACATCTCAGGATGCAAAGCAATATCCCTCACCTGTGGTGCAGCCCAAAGGATAATTCACTCAAGTGAATACGGAGCAAGACAAATTACGGCTGCAAATAAAGATGGCCAGAACTGGCAGAAGTCACAGAAGTCACCAGTTACCTGCTCGAATGACTTGAGTCCTGATTCTTTGCCCAAATTCACCATGTCCTCCAGAATGGCTGCCTTCACCTCCTAAAGATGGCCACACAGTGTTAGGAAGGTGTGAGGAGTACAACTACTGGTTCAGATTGTTACTGCTCAGCAGTCTGACCTTGTTATTGCACAGTTCAGAGAAAGACCCTTCAAACCCTCTTTTCCTGGCCCAAATAGGTAAAAAGTCTGGATCGGGTACCACAATCCCCACCAGGCATGCCTGGAAAAATTATTTGCAGCATAAGATGAGGATGAAATTAAACTGAATGCATTCATGTCTTCGAAAGAAAACAGAAGATTACTAACTGACCTGTAGGCAGTCACCATGAACAAATATCTGAGCCACGGGATCGCAGCGACTGTAAATGGTCTCAATTTTCTCAGGCGCAATGTACTCTCCTTGTGCCAGCTTGAAGATGTTTTTCTTTCTGTCGACGATCTTCAGAGTACCATTCTGCAACAAACCAGAGAAGCAAGTTTACATCTGACCTCAGCGATCATCAGAAGTTCCATCAGTTCTGCTGTTCATCCGCTTTTACGAACAGGAAGCCATTTCCCAATGTCCCCTGTGTGCAGCCAGCCCTCCTTGTCGATCGTCTCAGCGGTTTTCTCAGGCTCCTTTAAGTATCCCCGGAATACATTCGGCCCTTTGATACACACCTAAAAAAAACACACATTACATCAAAATATTTAGTAATAATCCAGCATGTAGAAATGGACTGCAACTGTTTTTAAAGAGATATTTCTTTGGAAAATATTGTTTTTTCTTAGTATTTATTCTTGTATTTTTTATCCAATTAAGTTTACTATAGGAGTGCAGAGAGTGTACAATGAAGAGTTGGAAACCTGTCTGCAGAAATTCTGCAACATGGGTTTTTAGATGTTGTAATGTGCAATTGTTTGTTTGTATATATATAAATAAATAGAGATAGAGAGAGAGAGATAGATATATGTTTTGCGGCACATAAAGTGTCTTTATTTAGGACCTTTTTGCACAGAGCACTAATGTTTGTTAAAAAAACGTTCCTTTTTTTTTTTTTTAAACAATTTTTACATTTCTTGTAGCCAGAATAAATTGTACATAGAGTAATCCCATTCCCATTTAACATGCTTCATAATAAAGAGTACTCTTACCTCTCCTTCTCCATTGGCTGCCAGGTAATTCATTTCTGCCACATCTACAAGTTTTATAATATTGCAGCATAGAGGAGGCCCAACATGACCTAAGGGTACAGTACTCTAGTTTTATGCACCATGATATTAGTTTCCTCTACACGCTGCTAAAATTCAAACATTTGAATGCTTACCAGCTGACCAGTCTCCAGGTAGCGTCATGGAGATTCCACCTGAACATTCAGTCTGACCATAGCCTTCATAGAACTGTAGAAAGCATAAATAACAATAGTTACAGTCAAGAAATAAAACTCAGTTACAGGCCTGCAGCCGGCCAGATGGACATTAAAGCGACTCACGTGACACCCGAGGGCAGCTCGGAGAAAGGTCAGGATGGTTGGGGACACGGGGGCAGCCCCTGTGATCATAATTCTAACACGACCTCCTAAACTCGCCTGCGAAATGCAAAACACACTTCAATGTTTAAATATTACTCTGAAACCTTCAGCAATTTCTTCCAAACAAAAAAAACTTTCTGAAAGATTTTGAGGTTGTGGTCAAATCTAAATGTGTGTTTGTCTAGTTTTTCATCTGCAATTGCCAATTGTGCATATCTAAGCAGTTCCTAATATGTTATTTCCCCATTGATTTGAATTGGAGGTAAATAGAACACAAAGTCCTTTGAGACACGTCTCATGTGTACCTGTACTTTTTTGAAAATGAGTTTGTCCCAAATGGTGTCTGATCTGACCAATCCATTTTTAAGGTCAGATTCTTTCCTTCTGAAGGCAAAATCCAGGAGCCATCTTTTCAGCGGTGTGTTGGCCTGACTGAAAACCTGCCGAAGAAGATGAAAACTGCTCAAAATACAAATACCCTTCCAGGCGACAGAGAGATGTCCACATAGGGAAAGAAAAGGTTTAAGAAGAGTTGTTGCGGCAAGTGATACAAGCTAAACATTGACCGACCTTGTCAAACATGCGGTTGAGGAGGCGAGGGACAACAGGAAATACCGTTGGCTGCAGCATTTTCAGATCATCCATCAACAGTCTAATGTCCCCTTGGAAAAATCCTATTCGGCCGCCCTGCATTTGGAGAACACACTAAAAGAAAAGAAAAAAATTAGTGAAAGTTTCTTATCCCAACTGCAGCTAATGCAACCCAACCCAGCTTCTCATATTTGTTTGATGAATGTATGGTGCAGGAGCCATTACCAAATGCATTCATTGTGAGTAAATAAACAAGGGAATGGAAATTTGACAGTAAGTAAGCAAGATATATAAGCAAGTCAATAACATACCCCCAGAACCCGTTCAAACATGTGAGCTAGGGGGAGATAGGATGCATGCGTGTCATGGATGTTGATGGCATTTACCTGCAGAGGACATACGAAACAGAAGCACATGCACATATGCAAGTCATGCACTCGGGTACTATACCTCCACCAACCTCTCGAACATATGTGCCAGAGGGAGAAAGGAGATGAGCACATCTTTGGTGCTGGGTGTAAATGTTCTCTGGATTTCACCGCAAAGGGAGAATATAGGACATTTGGATGATCAATACGACCAACATGACACAGAAAGAACTCCATATATTGTATCAAACAGCACAATCAAAAATCAAACTGAAAAAATCAGAGAAGCTGAAGAACAAATTAAAACCTAAATAAAATTGAAAACTGAAAAAAAATTAAACTGAATACAATCTGGAAACTGTGTATATAAATTAGATAATAAACAGGTGAAAGAAACTATTTTGAATGACAAAATATTCTGAAACACAAAGAAAGTTCAAACTAAATCAAACTAAAAATAGGAACATTTAAAAAAAAAAATAGGACCAGATGAAGATAAAAAAACAGCCAAAGAGTTCAATGGTCGAAGGATTTTATTCTGTTAAAAAGATTAAAAAATAGCCTGAGGGTAGAAGAGCACCATTTGAAAAAGTTTTTTTCTTTTTTTAGCAAAGAAAAAAACAGGAATCATTTGAATGCTATACATTTCTCAACTCCTCGTCCAGATGATAACTGGAAGATCCCTCATTCAAATAAAAGTTTACCTCTAAACTTTTAATGACGGCTGCAGCATCTGAGATGACGTTTTCATGAGTGATCAGTGCTCCCTTAGGGTTTCCTGAAAAGAAAACAACATGAGGACAATTCATGATGTGAAGAAAACCTTTGAAAATAGATTAAGCCATCATTTGTGTACAGACCCGTGGTTCCAGATGTGAAGCAAACAATTGCGAGATCCTCTGGTTTTGGAGGCTGCAATCAAATCCAAAACTTACACAAAATCATGACTTGAATTTCTTCTGATATAGAAAGAATGTATGTTCCTCCTTTTCTGCTGGCATGCATGTCTTTCTCTTAGACAGTCACGATGACTCAGAAAATGATCAATATTGAAATAAAGACACTCCTTGGAATTTAATCAATAGGACAGAAGAGATTCTGTCAGTTTGTTCTGACCTAATGTTACCACTTACCACTGGTTTCTTAAGGTTGGCTTTACCCAGAGCCTGGTAAACAAAAGAAAACACAAAATTTTACCAAGCATGCACTAAGTTTGATAGCAATCATGCTTTAAAAGACTACAATTTACACAACCTGAATTAATGAGTAAAAGTGATGGAAATAAGAGCTAGTTTTGCAAATCTTGTCAGAGAACATTGGTAGTATTACACAGAAAAGGTAGAAATGTTGAAGGACTGAAGAACAAACATGTTTCTAATATTTCTCTTACCTCAACCTCCTTAAAACTCAGGATTTCAACTCCACACCCCTTTCCCTGGGCCACCAAATCACGGTCAAAAGCCTCTATGAGAACTATAGTCTTTAGAGTACTCTCTTTTTCAGCTATACATTCCAGAATCATCCGAGCCTTCTCAGGCACATCGCAGAACACTGTAGATATGCAAGCTGAAAGAGGGATCACATCGAATTAGGAACATCTATGCCTGAGACCTACAGCCCCCCTCTGAGGACGAGGTGTAGTTAATGTGTGATGATGTTCATTAGGGTTATCGTTCCAATACCTTTCTTGATTTTGTAGCCAATAGCCTCCTTGCCAAGTGTGTCGTAAAGTGGGACAGCCACTAAGGAGTATGTGTAACAGCCCAGCTCTGAAATGGTCCACTGAGCAGAAAACAGTGAATAGAAATTCCAATAAAAATAACAACAGAGAAATAAAAAGATATTTGTTGTAGAGTGAAAGGCTCAAAAGGGTCAGAACTATGTCAAACATTATTTACAAGTAAGAAGTGATAAGAAAAGGTTTTACAAACACAAGAAAATATGTTTTACATGGAGACTTCAATGAAACTGCACAACATTTTATATTGAGAAAAAAGACCAAGCTATAAAATGAAATACAAAGACTTTGTAGGCTCGACCTATGAATCCAAGACATTTAATAAGAAATTCAAGCTACTCCAGCTTCCTCAAGCTGGATGGACTGCTGTAAAAATGTCAAAATGATGCTACAGATCTTAGGTCAAGCAAACGGCACCACTGATCAAGCAGGATAAAATGATCATGTCTTTGACCAGATGGTTTACTGAAAACCATAGCATACCATCATGAAGGATCAAAGATTAAAGTGGAGGTACCTCTGGTCTGTTCTGGGAAAAGATGCCGACAAATTTGTCTCCCGTGTGAGAGAGTCCTCTGTGAAGGAGGGCAGATCCGATGTTCTCTGCTCTGTCTACGACCTGAAACAGCATAATTCGTTTTAGGTTCATAGGGACTGGATTGTCGCTTTGTTGCGGTTCCACATTAAACACCACTTTTCACCTCTTTATAGGACAGCCACTCATATGGCTGGTTTGGCTTCCTTGAACCAAGGCAAGGTCCATTATCTGGAAAAGGAAAACAAAGTTCACTTTCAAACTCTTTCTCGCTTCAACCAGTTCAGCTGATACAAATTATTCACTCACTTGATACCCGGAGTCCTCTCATGAACGCATCATATACCGTAAGTGTATCGCTGTAGTAGTATGTCAAGCACTCCTCAGTCAGCACTGATCTTCTGGCATATTCTCCACCCTGCAAACAACATACCGTTCACAATCTCACAACCACCTGTGTTGTCCAGGAGCGCACTTTGTTATTTTGTAATTCTGTAAATGTTGATGGGAATAATGATGCCAGCCCCTGGAGATGATCCAAGGCACAGTATATTCCAGCAGAATGAGGTCAGCTGGTCAGGGATTTTTTATTTTTTGTAATGAACCTTTGGGCATGTTATAGCTGCAAATGACTTCTGGGAATTTCAGACCACCGCAACTAAGGATAAAAAGCAACAAAGAACCAAAACGAATCCAGCAATATTGGAGAAGACCTCGCTTACTGGTATTTCCACTGATTGGAGTCCGAGGTCACATGGCGGTTTGATGGCTTTTGGTCGGGTGGCAAACCAGTAGGTGGTGAGGGCAGCGAAGGCTCCCATACCCATGAGCGTATTTGTGGGAAGGCCTCGGACATATTGTCGAATGTCATCCAGCTCAGGAATCCGCAGCTGTCTCAGGACATCCTGAGCCTGCATGTCTGTCCTGCACTGACCCTGCCAAAAAAACCGAGGGAAGAGCGTGTCATTTCCAAACTTTGCCTTATCCCCTACTTTTTTCAGTTCCATCCATGTTCACAGGTTTGTTTTATAAAAGAGCCCCAAAACCTTTTACTTTAGTTTACGGGACTGTGCAAAAGTCTTACGTCATCCTTCATGTCCAATTAATGAGCCAAACTCCTGTTATCTTTGAAAGTGGGGCAGTGGATTACCTGGCTATCCAAAAGTGTTTCAAAGTTTTTTATTTAACACTAGCTCCTTTTTTAAAATAAAACGTTGGTGTGGACCGCATACCTGACCATCTTCAGAGAGGTGAACAGAACACTGTGCCAACAAATGATCTGCAGTTTTTTGAAAAATAATTTTATGTTCCGTCTTTAAGAACGGCTTTACCATAGACAGATATTGGCTTTCATTTCTTTAGCTGCATCCACAGTTTGACAGCCATTAATTGCATTTTTGTGCCTAAAAGGTAACTCACAAGGAGACATTGGCTGTACACCTGGCATGTTTCAGCATGGGATGCATTGATTCCTTAAGATCTTTGTGGAAATCTGAAGTGAGACAGAGGTGACTGTCAGCTAGATTTAAAAAATAATTCCAAAGCATTATATAAATGAATTATGATCAAGAGTTGGAGCATCAAAAAAGCACTTGCTTTCATTCTTTTTTAAATCACTCTTTAAAGTTGCACAATGGGATTCCTGACTTGACAGAGGATTAGTTCCCATTTTTCTATCATAATTATTTTTACACATTTAGATAAAGATGTAACAAACTGACCTATGTGGGTTCACATCATATTCTTCTTACTTAAACAGATTAATCAGTACGAAAAGCTACAACCTAGCTCTCTCTCACATTCCTCTTCACACATGCACAGCCCCATCTGGACAGTGAAAACTCATCCTGCTTGCCCTGTCTCTCTTGGTGAGTTCCATAATAGACACCTGTACATCATTACATGGACCAAAAAATTGTATCACAAGTGCTGGTGTTGTTTTAAATGGTTTAGAAAAAATCTAAAACCATGCAACACATTCGCTGTTAAATACCTTCCTTGCTAAAATAGCTTTTAAGCCATCCAATTGTTTTATTCATTTAAAATGATACAAATGTATTCTACTGAGCAGAAAAAATGGAGACAGTGAGAGAGTTACCAAATAAAAAAAAAAATTGAAAATTTTATAATAGACAACTAAACATGTTAATGTCTAAAAAACATTTTGTTGAGAGACTCGTCTTTTCACCTTGCTGCATACAGATGTGCTACCCTATTGAGCAGCTGTGCACTTGGAAAGAAATATGACTCCGCATACATTTTCTAATCCAAAGACTCAATAAAGTCACACAGACACAACCACAGATGTTAAACCATGTGCTCTGGGAGGTAAGAAAAGCCTTCTGCTCAGAATATTTCGAAGATGACCTCACTGGACTGAGCTCACATGCTTCCTGGAGATCTCATTCTAACCCACTAACATTTTAATATCCCAATCAGACATGCCAGAATAAGCACAGCTGCTGAGACTATCAACTCCATTAACAAATTAAATCTACTTGGTTTTATGGCAGGAAAGCTCAAACTCAGTGTTTACATTTATTTGGATTAATCTTTCATTTACAAAATCTCAAAACAAACCCACATTATCTAATAGCATAGTCCCCATACGGTTTATGGTAATCCATATGAAATTCACATCTGTTTTCAGCCTGTAACAGCATGCAGGGGAAATCCTCTGATCTCTGGATTGGAGGTAAATTAAGTGAACTGCTACTACAAAGGTAACAACTGACTTCTTTTCTTACCAACATGCCCATGACCAACATGACTAATGCCAACTAAGACAGTGTCATAGAAATTGCACCAAATAAAAGGCCATTCAAACTGACAAACAGTGGTCTTTGTTGAAATGACATTTGGACCACAAAGTACCTGCACCTGTTTTCCTCTGAGGAATAAAAGCTTGGAGAAGACACACATCAAATCTCACAAGTGGTTCTAAAGTGAAACTTTCAAAAATTTGCATCAACTTATCCTCATGTAAATTTCAAATGCAGCTGAAAACATATTCAGTAGGGTCATCTTAGAGTAGTAACAGATGGAAATATGGTTAATTTCTGTACTCACAGTGCTACGGTGTGTAATTAAGAAAGCTAAGGATTGTGTCCAAAGTGGAGACGTGCAGTTATCTGAAAGTCCCGGCGCTGCTGCTGTAGCTATTAGAAGGACTCACACTGACCTCAAATAGACTCCTGAAGCCTCATAACTATGAATAGCAGAGACACGCCCCTTTTAAAAGAGAAACATGGAACCCTGAGAGACCTCTTTCCACACACTACAGATCACAGCAGCCTGCAGATTGGCCCAAACAGGTAGAATAGTCTTTTCTCTACACAGTGTGTGCAATTCTTATGTTGTTGGGCATCTTAACATCTAAAACCGGTCCACCAAAAGAAATCCACACTGATTACAACTAAATATGTGAAGTGCAGCTGACAAGTGAGTTGGCTGATCCCTCCCTGCTTAACAATGACTCACTCATCATTACATCTGCATGTCTGACCATGTGTGCAGATGCCTGGAAGAAGTTCTCATCTAAAGTTCTCGAACTGAAATTTTTATCATACTTTTTCAGTTAAGATAATCGGAACCTGGACTTGGATGAGTAACCAAACGTTTCTCTCGCTGTTTTTCTCTTTCTCTCTCTATGTATATTTATATATATGTATATATATATACGTGTGTAACCCACGCCCTCTGTAGTCCACTGCTGCACCTCTCCTAGACTCTGCATTGTGATTCTTGTTGTTGTTTGATGGAGAGTCATGCGGAGGGAAAGAAGCACCAGACGGGGAGGCTCGTACTTGTGGCTGAGACCTTGCCGTTTTTTAAATTTATTTTCTTTGCAACCGGCTTCAGGACACCGGACAGATAAGGACTATACTCAACAAAAAACTACTACTTCTTCCCGCCCGGCTACCACATCCCGCGCTAGCATGCTAGCCACCCTCATGGCCACATCCGATCAAACAGCAAAATAAACTAAGTCAATAATACTTCCGCCAACGGCGGACTTTAGTTGAACAATTGGAAGAACAGTTCGCATGCACAAATTATCAGGACATGTAAAATACACACATTATATGGTTTTTATGCCGCGCTTACCTTTCAGGGGAAAGAAAGCTCTAACACAAAACAAAGATGGCGTCCTAACCAGCGTAACTCCCAGAACCATCGCGTGAACTGGCTGGCTGTAATGCGACAACCGTGCCACAGTGCCACCTTGTGACGTAAACAGGTCACTTCCTTACATCCGCCCCCTCTTTATTTGGTGGCGTCTTACCCATCGAAACCAAATTAAACAGGTGAACTTAGATACCACTTGGACAACCCACCTTCCACACAAATAAAACTTCAATAGTATTAGCAGTATTTCTGCTACCAATGGCCTGCTGCTCACCTGGCCTTAACCCTCTGCCACAACCTTCATACTCTTCTTATCTTGTCCTGGTCAGTCTCAGACTTTGTAACCTTTGACTCACAGCACAGCTTCTTTGGGAAACGTTGATTCCATGTTCAGTTTCTCCTTGAAGACATGGGACCCGGAGATATGTCATCCCCAGCTACAGCCCTATTTGTCTCCTCTCCAGAACTCATTTGTCCTACATCCATCTCCACGTTCCCTATGTCCACATGTTCATCCTCTTCGTTTGTGCCAGGTAGCACCCTCTCCACATTTCCTCTGTGCTAGTATGTTCTTTGTTCTCACAGTTTGTGTTCCCTCCACATTTTCCTCTGCCATCCAGTCCTCAGCTGTATTTGACTCAGTGCCTGCATCGTTCCCATTCAAACCCAGCTCAGCTTCCTCTCTCAATGCTCCTTCATTATGCTCGACTGGGAGAAACATACATTGTGTCAGGAGATTGCGGTGAATCACTCTTTCTCTCCCTCCATCTTCCGGCTGCACAACATACACAGGGATGCCAGGTTGCTTCTTCACCAAAAGGCATGGACGAGGCTCCCACCTGTCTCCCAGTTTCTGCCGACCCTCCACTTGGTATACTTTGACGAGGACTCTATCCCCTGGACTGAAGACTTGATTCTTTGCACTTTTGTCACAATACTTCTTCTGCTGCTCCTGCCTGCCGCAACATTTGGTTGGCTTGTGTGTAAGCCTGTGACAGACAGTCATGGATAGTTCGGACAAAAACACTGTACCCACAGGAATCATTCTTGTTGTGGAGGGTAATGAACAGGGGGTGGTGTCATATGCACCTGGGGAGCAGGAGTAGAGTGTGCTTAGCCGGTATATCTTTGTGAGCTAGGCTGACCATCTGGTTGGATGGGGTTGGGGGCCTGTGAACTGGGAGGGAAGCTTGGGACACATAGGGATTAGCTTGTGGTGTGATAACAGGGCTCATAACACTCGACGGTGTTGGCTGGGGCACAGGATCATCCACTGGATACATGGCAATTGGAAAGCTGTAGTTTGACCGATTTGTCTGCCCTCTCACTCCTGTGGCTGGCATGGCATCCAAACTGGGCAGGGGGGCCTGTACTGGGGCTCTTGAGGCTTGAATGGTGGGTGCTTGGCTTGACCTAATCCAATAAGGTGACAACACTGGGGGCGGTGGGTATGGCTGTGAGCCTACCACAGGCCTTGGGGGGTGTCCATGGGTGTGAGAATCTTATGAATCCTGTGCCAGGATTCACCATTGCCCCATCACCCAAAGGGTGGATTTGGGTTCCATCTCTGCCATGGTAGGGGCTTGTTGCAGGAGCATGGGAGGATTGCGTGTTTGAGGTTGCAGCAGAGGGTGCTTCCGGCCCCAACAGGGAATCTGCGCATCCAGCCCACTTTTTTTTCACAAAGTCAACAATGAAAGCACTGTAAGCACATTAATATCTCACTTGTTATTTAGAAGGATACACTGTTAAAGGTAGACACTCTTCCACTGTTTATCAGGATGTCAGTAGAGCTGAAGCTGGACGC